ATATCAAAAGCCATTAACAAATTGTAGGAATTTTAATTAAAAATAAAATTAATATTATTGTACTATACAATAAAGCAGTTTTATTTTACTTTCAATGTCAATGGAATAATCAAAATATATTTCAGGAAAAATTAAATTTTTATAGGAAATATCAATCTTGCTTAACTTAAACAGTTTGCAGTAGTGTACTGTAAAGTGTTCCTTATTGTAAAAGGTGGAATGGGATAGCTTTTGTTTATATCACAGAGAATGAGAGAACATGTAATGGAATAAAAGTGATAATCTATGAATATGTAATGAATTCAAGATATATTTACAATATTTGAATATGCATATTCACCAGCGTGTAAAGATAATGATGAAAGATATAATCAGATGGTTATGTTTTAGAATCAACTGAATGATTTTGTAGAGAAGCTTTGAGTTAGGGACTTGTGAATGTTGATGTCGTTCTGCATATGAACTAATTATGCTTTGAATCTCACACTTCAATTAAGAAGAAGAAAAAGAAGTAATTATCAAAACAAGGTGTCAAGAAGAAAAAGAAGCTTTAAAATGGTAGGAAAATGATTGGTGTGTGTGTGTGATATGATTACCAGGGTGACAATGTATGCAGAGTTGTTGTTGTAAAGTAAGGAATGCCAGGTGTAAATAAGGATGAAAACATCTTGGTGGATATGCCTTCAGAATGGGATTTGTGTCAAGTATTTTTTTTGAATGTATGTGCATATATAGTATAGGTATACATGTAGGCAACAGGGAGTTCATATATAGACATACAGTACATAGAGGTGGCGGGGAAGGGAATGAAATGGAGCAAAAACATTTATCATGTATGTAGAGAGATTAATAGTATAAAATGAGAGGGCAATGAGAGAATTGCAGTGCTATACAAAATCAGGAAAGAGAAAAGTGGGTTTTCTGACTAGAAAAAAAACACTAAAAATTAACATGACAAAAAATTTCATTTTTGGGAGGATTAGGTACAAGATGATGAAAGGGAAAATGACTGAGTACAGTATATGAAAACAAAATAAGTCCAATACAATACATTATATATATTAGTGATAAGATGATGCAGGTTGTAGATGAAGGGTTGTACAAATATTGTAAGGAAGAGAATTATGGCAGAAAGGTTAAAATAGTCATAGTGTTAAATAAAATTGGGTTACAGGATTTGGAGTAAATATATTAAGAGTCTAAGCATAATGGCACCTAAGCTATGGTAAATTGTAGAGGCTCTATTTGGCAATTGTTAACAGAGAATAAGGCTGTGTAAAAAATGAATGTGGTAAGAATGCCATCAAGATGCATAACAAATTCATGCAGAGTGGTGGGAATGGTTGCGTCTTTATAAGTTATAAAATATATCTTTAATTATAATTATTTACTTTCTAGACATATAAATGTGAAAATAATACTGGAAATTCCTTCACAATGATTCAAATCACCGTAAGAATTTTATTCCTAAGAGTAAAATACTGTTGTAAACTAGTAATTATCAGAAAATGAAATATAATTTGCAAACTATATTATGTTTAACAGTGACAAAACAAGAGAGCAGTATTTACAACTGACAAAACAAAATACACTGATTATACAAGAAATCAGTCAGTTTACAACTGATAATAGAGCAGTCAGTTTACAACTGATAATAGAGCAGTCAGTTTACAACTGATAAAACATAAGATACACTGTCAAAACATAGGAAATCAATCAGATTACAATATTTTGCTTCTTGCTTTTCTAAAGAAGATGTCCTCAAAGACAAACTATGCAGTTTACCACTGTCCCTGCACATAACACCAAGTATTGAGAACTTGTCTCGTGTCACCGTTGTTCGCAGCTCATTTATAATTCTTTTAGTTGTAAAAATTATTTATTCCCTGAGCAGTTTGCTATCACTAGATGTAAAAATAGCTATATTATTGCTTTGTTAGGAATTGCTAAATGAATCTTTGTCTTGAGAAATGACCCAATACAGGTCATGGTGGCATGGAATGCCCTTTACTTGAATGGTTTTCCTTGATAAAATCATGAAGGTGCTTTACTTCTCCAGTGAGGTTAACATCAGCATCATCTGAATAATCTTTCATCATAACTTTAATAGACTGGCACAGCTGTTTCTAGGAAGATTCTACCTAAATAACAATACACAAGTATAATTAAATCTAAGACTTTATATTTAAGCATAATTATAAAATTACAAAATCCTACAAACTTGTGTAAATAATTTGTTTTAATACATGGGTTTAATTTGTTAATGTAAATTGGTGTTAAATAGGTAATTTTAATTAAATGAAATCATTAAACTTAAATTATAATAAAACAGTAACAAATGAAAAAGGTAAAAATTTTAGCTGCCCTTTCAGACTGAGGCAACCCGTTCTCGCAAATTTAATAAGTCAATATTGACTTATTAAATATGTGCATAGGTGACATACTTAACATAATAGATACCCTTAAAAAGATTCATAGAAAACACCGACCTTACCTAACCTTGTTAGTATCTTAAGATAAGCATCTTATTGCTTCGTAATTACAATTATTACCTAACCTATAATAGGTATAGGTTAAGTAATAATTGTAATTACGAAGCAATAAGATGCTTATCTTAAGATACTAACAAGGTTAGGTAAGGTCGGTGTTTTCTATGAATCTTTTTAAGGGTATCTATTATGTTTAGTATATCACCTATGCACGTAGTTAAGTCAATATTGACTTTACGAATTTGCGAGAACGGGTTGACTGAGGTTATCTTGAGATGATTTCAGGGCTTGGTGTCCCCGAGGCCTGGTCCTCGACCAGGCCTCCTTTTTGTTACACACCCCCAGGAAGCAGCCCGTAGCAGCTGTCTAACTCCCAGGTACCTATTTACTGCTAGGTAATAGGAGCATCAGGGTGAAAGAAACTCTGCCCATTTTGTTTCCGCTTCCATCGGGGATCGAACCCGGAACCTCAGGTCTACAAATCTAAAGCGCTCTCCACTCAGCTGTCAGGCCCCTAATTATATTATGATCACATCAATTGCATGGAGTAATCTCAGTAATATAGCTTCAGGGAGCCACCAGATAGCTTCTGAGGTCCTAAGCTGTTGGTTATTTAGCCATGTTCATGAATGTAATTACTGAACTTGTTCAAAATATGTGCCAATAAAAAGGAAAATAAAGAAAATACTAGCCGGATCAGTCCACCAGGAATCACGTAGATTATGAGACATGCTAAATGAAGCTACTCGGGAAATAAAATAAGCTAAAAGACACTATTATCTCCATCTTGTTGAGATTGCTCCATACTAAAGGACCACATCAGTCACAGAAGCTCTGTTTGGTCTACCAGAGACTAAAGCGAGGTACAGGGAATGGGTGACAACCCATGACCCTACTGGAAAAAAAAAACTCCAAAAAGCCAGTGCAGCCTGACACATAACTGGAGGGTTCGCAGAAAACAAAGGCTTGAAATGGCCAAACAACTCTGCGTATGATTTACACACAAAAAAGGGTATTCACCCAAATAGCTCAAAACTTGTTAGTATCAATTTCTGCCACTAGGAGGCCTGATCCTTATTCTCAGTTGACTTCCAATATATCTTGGTTCTACAGCCGAGTGAATTGTTTGCGGAGTTCTTTGGCATTTGTTATGCTTTGGCCTTTCTTACCCCACAGGTGTCTGTAAGGCTTCGTTGACTTCCTACATGCTTTTTCAGCGAAGTGGAAAATTGTCACTTGCTCTCAGCTCACCTTAGGGGAGCCAGGTTTTGACTCTGGTCCCCAGTTGGCCAAACAGAACTCTCTCATCTGATGTGACCCAATTGCATGGAGTAAGCTCAGTAAGATAGCTTCAGAGAGCCACCAGAGCTAATCTGGAAAAAGACATTTCATAACATTCAATTTTTGTTGTTATGTATTTTGTGATATTTAAAATGCTCTGGCAAATATTTTATTTGCTGTACAGTATTTATGATATCCTATGTCTTGGGAACACTTAGGGTCTGGTGTCAAGATATTTGAGGTGCTACAGATCTACAGATGGTTAATATGTCAGGGATGAATGAGTGTAGAGTACAGTAAATGGTTTCTTGAAATGTACAGTTTTGTTAAATAACACTTAACTACCATCTTTCCACTTATATTTATTGAAATGATGTAGGAATGCCTATTCACATAAAGTATAAATTAGTTTAATGCTTATAACAAATGGAATAATAGTACTGCTCTACAACTAAAGGCTGAGCGAGTTAGTAAATGGAAGGCAAACTTTATTACAGAAAATATTCAATAAAATATTTAGAATAATTTCATGTGTTACTAACTAAATCTCTTTGGTAACAGTTGCATCTGTAACATTCAAATGCTAATCAATAAAATCTATTTAATCATATCAATAAAATATATATTTTATATAAACTAAATAATTTGTTATATATATATATATATATATATATATAATATGACCCATTCAGGCTTGTTCGCATATTATATATATATTATATATATATATATATATATATATATATATATATATATATATATATATATATATATATATATATATATATGTCGTACCTAATAGCCAGAACGCACTTCTCAGCCTACTATGCAAGGCCCGATTTGCCTAATAAGCCAAGTTTTCATGAATTAATTGTTTTTCGACTACCTAACCTACCTAACCTAACCTAACCTAACTTTTTCGGCTACCTAACCAAACCTAACCTATAAAGATAGGTTAGGTTAGGTTAGGTAGGGTTGGTTAGGTTCGGTCATATATCTACGTTAATTTTAACTCCAATAAAAAAAAAATGACCTCACACATAATGAAATGGGTAGCTTTATCATTTCATAAGAAAAAAATTAGAAAAAATATATTAATTCAGGAAAACTTGGCTTATTAGGCAAATCGGGCCTTGAATAGTAGGCCAATAAGTGAGTTCTGGCTACTAGGTACGACATATATATATATATATATATATATATATATATATATATATATATATATATATATATATATATATATATATATATATATAAAATTCCAACTCTATAATAAGTATAATACAATAACTTATTTAACCTGTCTATAGTTTTCATATAAGTATTACGCATACAATACCTGCTTGGAGATATTACCCATTACATACCTTGATATTAATTCATGCCAATGCACAAAATATCTCTGAAAGCAATATTTTTTATACAATCACCAACTACTTAAGCATTACAATGTCAAGATTCATCAAGTTTTTCTGTGTCAAAAGTACATGGATAAACAGCAGGTGATACATGCAATTTATATCTACATAACAAGCAAAATATATTACGTAGATATCTGATTGGCAATTACATAGTACACTATCTACAATGGCCAAAATTAATATAAATACAGTATGTATATACAATGCTCAAATAAGATTTTCCACATAATGTAGTCTAATAATCTTAATCTTCTGATTATAGGATAAAAACTCACACTTGCGTACTTGTGAATTTTATGTAAAGATTTACACCAAGTCTTTTGCACTCTCCTGAGTGCTTTGTCAAGGTCTGAGTATGTGGTTAGGACGAGACTTACATCTCACCGACTAATGTTGTTGGCATTAGTCAGGGAGATGTAAGTTTTGGTGTAAATCTTTACATAAAATACACAAATACATAAGTGTGGGTTTTTATCCCATGTTATTATATGTGTGTGAGAAAATATTACCACTACAAATTTTCTGATTATTTGGCAGTAAAATTTTACAGCTTTATATTTAAAATGAAAGGAAACAAAAGATTTACAGTAAGAATGTGGTGTGTGTGTACATGTCTGTCTTTTTAAATACAGTACAGTACTGTATTATGAATGGTGATTAAATATCAAGATTCTAACAAATATAATAAAGTATTCTGAAAATTTAAAATAATATCCTCATTAACCATCAATGGTTGAACATAAGCAATCAATAGGTTTACAAAACCTTGAAAAAATATTATATAAGAGGCATTGTTCACTAATTTGGCTACAGCTTTCAATTCACATTCTATACCATGAACTCTACATTGAGTTTGGATTTTGTCTAATGAAAGACACAATTTCCCATGACAAAGAGTCATACAAATTGCATTTTAAGATGCCTAAACTATCATTCACATAAGCTGCAATTCACTATAGGAACTAGCTTTCATAATAGGACCAGAAAAATATGAAAATGTTACTTTATGAAAAATATATAAAAAATAAAATTCACAAATTAAAACATCTTAAAGCAATCTTTGATATTCGCTTCAAGCATAATCAGTACCAACTCTTTATTTTATATAAACAAATAACAGGCCATTATAAGATTACCAAGGAATTCCCAATGTTGTTTTGGCCATTATTTGAAGCAACTGCTAATTCTTTATTATAAAATATACACAGGCTTAAATAAAATGAGTGTGGTCTGTCAGAGGTGAATGCATAAGAAAACAATTATCAAAAACTCTGATTAGAAGTGTTTAACCAAATCACTATAAAGCATACAAATGACTTCCAGTAGGGTCAGGATAAAGAGTTTGAAGGGTTACCATTTAAGAAGATTAGCCACTTTGTTACCTTGTCACCCTGAAGTCTGATCAATGTCACCAAGAATCTCAAGAATCTGAAGCATAACTAAAAAGGAAGACCAATTGAACTACAACTACTAGTATGTACTAGAGCTTTTTACACCTAAACAATGTAAGCTGAAAACTTGAAAACAGTACCTAAATGTATAAATGTGTATATGCTTAACTATCTAAGTGCAATTATCAAAGTGTCCTGTTTTCCCAGTACTGTCATATGATGCTTTGAGACTACGTACTGATGGTTTTGGCATCAACAGCCCTCTCACTTAACTTGTCCCAACCATCTACCACTCTGTTTACACACATTTTATATACAGACTGCATGCTTGCTGGATGTCACTTATCTGGATATGCATGTTGTGTGAATAAAAAAAATTCAATTAACTGGTGAGGTGGGCAGTCCAAATAAAAATGAGTGAGAAAGTTGTGAGGTAAGTGCCAGCCAGGTCTCACTGGCCAGGGGTGGTGGAGGGTGCATGGGTGGGAGATGGGCCTAGCTTGTCCAGTGACTGTATTGGGCACCACTCAAGCAGTGTTCGTGCACTGATAAATGGCTTGGCCTTAGAAGCTTTAAACTCTGCTATGGCATTAGATACGTTAGAGGTTAGAGTACATGTGAAAGGCAATCTGCTGAGGTTACCTCATCACCATTAATCTCTACTTCAGTCAATCCAACACCATCAACATCCACCATCTTTTCCATCTAAATAAAAATGCTCCATCAACTATAATCTTCAAGTTGACAAGCTGATCAGAACTTCTCATATTGGTGAGTACAAGCCTACAATTGAATTTCTGCAATAAATTGTACATTTTTCCCCAGGCTTTTCAGGATGACGAACCACTGTGTATATATGTGATAATTCTAGCAAAATGTGCTTCTGAGGAGTGAATGGCATCATGAGATTGATCTGTATTTTGGGGTGTTGTTACCAGATGTCAAAATATCCCTGGTCCTTTATAATTTTCAAGGTCATATGATAATTTATAATTGCAGTACTATTTACTTTAAGGGCTCAGTGGTCCAAATCCCAGCAACTTGAATCTTTGGGCAACAGGAATGAATTCATATTCATAATTTTCGAAAAAACTGGGGTAATAACTATGTAAATTGTAGGAGTGAGCTGGTAAATCACAAAAATGCATGTATAAATGGTGGTAGTGGATTGTGGTACAAAAAATTGAAAATTTGCTCATTTTTGTACATTCCTAGCAAGAAATTTGGCTAAGTCGAATGTTTGCCCCACTCAAATGGGGGTGAGCTCTATGTGATTTGGATTACTAAGCTTAGACAGTACAGAGAAGTTTTCTATGAAAGTTAAAAAATTTTGCTTTCCACACTGAAGAGAAATTGAGAGTTGAGCAAGAAGTAATTATCAAAAGGCAAATACACCCAATAGTAAAGGTATCATATTCACCATAGTTTTTTTTTCAAGGAACAAATGATTCTAAGGGACTTTAGAAAGCAAGATTTTCAATCATCTCAAAAATCAAAACATTTTATGATAGATATGCAACTAAGTGGCCTAATGCAGTTTTGACCGTGGGGAGATAGGCCTTTGTTCTATTAAGTGCCCATGAGTTAAGCATGCATTGCCAATATGCAAGCTAGCAAGAATCATTTCCCATATCCTATTACATTGAAAAGAGTAAGGTCATGGGTATAGGCCATATTTAATACTATGAAGCTTGCTATTTGCAATACTGCACTGTTGTGCTTGAAGTATTGATCTTGCAGCCAAAGGGTCAAGCATAACTTAGTAATACTGTAGTAGAAATTGGTTTCATAAGTAAATGCTGCCTGACAGCCAATCTCAGAGTGCAATAACAACAGCAGTAGTAGTACATTATTCTCAGTTTATTTCATAAGTATATGCTGCATAAGCTTTATTATACTGTATTATATTGTATTATATAAAGGCACATTTAATGGCAAAGAAGTGCATTTTTTAATTGAATATTAGTACTGTAGTCTGATAACTGCTGTATCTAACCATATTGTTGCAAATTTTTAATGGAACATTTCTTATTAACCTTACAGTACAGATTTTGTGCACAATTTGAAAATTTTTATCACGTAAAAAGGATTATGATCATTAATACTGTGCACACCAATATAGACCATCATTCGCAACTGACGACAAAAATGTTTAGGCAACAGCTGTTGATTTGCACATCATGTTTACATTTGACATATGGCAACATTCCTTGAACAAAAATGATCAAATATATGATTGTTAGACATAAATCTCATAGGAACTAGTTACTGTTTCATGCATGATATGGGTTGTCAATATGCCCAACATGTAACTCCCCAAAAGGTAGAATAAAATGGGCTTAGCTTCGAATTGTAAGAAAGCTGCTGAGTACATACAGGTAAGGTTGGGAGAGCAAGAGAGAGAGAGATAAGAAACTTGAATATACTCAACGACAAAAGAAAAGCAGTCTATTAAACAATAATAAAATGAGAATGTTAACAAAGATTTAATAAATAAATTAGTTATTTATTAAAACTAAACAATGCATTTTTCAGTTTGAAGGGTACAGTACTTAGTCTTAAAACACAATACTTTACTGAACAATATTAAAATTAACATTATTTCAAATACTTTATCACATATTTGGAATGGTTTAAAAAACCTGAAAATACATTTTGGAACTTCTTTGCATGTGCAAATAAAGAAACAAATTGTAGAATACTGTATATAAATGCCAAATAATGTAATTCTTTGCCTACGAATTGGCTATATTAAATTTTTTATGCTACAGTATATCCCTCTAAATAACAACAACAAACCATTTTAATATGGAATCTGATTCTGGTGATACTGGAGGCGGTCATATGCCTTGGTGCGCCAGCTGAGGTGTGAATGCTGGATGATGTACAGCATGTACTCTGCCGCTTCCCTCTCGGTAGACTGTGGCGTGAACCTGGAGCGTAGTTGTCTGATGGTCTGGCCTCTGAAGCATGGCAACCCTGTGTCCAGCATTAGAGAAACTAAAGAGACTATTGCTTCTCTGTATGGTCTGGAAGTAAAAATAACAAGAAAGCTTGTTTAGGCTTACTATTTTGTCATGAGTTTAATCATCACAGTACAGTACACCTAACACTAATGACAAGGTATTTATTAAGGAAATAGAAAACAAAAGTGTCGAATATACAGTAATGAAATGCCAATTTCTGGGTGAGACCTTGTGGTTCCCTGAAGCTATCACTGATAGTGCACCAACTATTAGGTCGCATCAGCTGGGGAGTTCTATAGGCCTACCGAGAACCAGCGCCAGTACCTGGCGCCCTCACAGAGGTGCAGAAAGTACTGGCATTTATTTATCCCACCACCGGGAAAGTAACAAGAAAGTTAGAGACACAAAACAGGCCACTATTAACTTGAATAGAGACCACACAGTCTTTCTATAACTACAGAAAGAACACTCCCAACTATGTAAAGAAACAAAATCTCTCCAAATTAGCACAAACTCATTTGCCCCCACCTCTTACATATCCATCTGAGGGAGAAGATGGGTAGCTTGTACTCACCTAGTGCAACTCACTGGCTGACTAACCTAGTGATCACCTTGTGGTCAGTCAGCTACACCATCCTCAGTTTTATGATAGATGTAACCAACAAACTTTCCCATATATTTACTGGCACCTTTGTCACCCAATATTCTCTTTTTCAAGCATTATTATGTGGGCTACTTTTTCTTTACTGTAAACTATTCTCTATAAAATGTGAGCTACAAATCACACTCGTGCAAAATTATGACACCTAGAACCATGTCACTTCAAATACTCCACATCCAACATCTTTAAAAGGTGGCTGATAAAGAAGTGTGGTTCACAGAGGTATCAGAATCTCACCTGGTCCCGGCAAGTGTTTTCTCTCACACGTTTTTGTTTTATAATATTTATTTATTATATATATATATATATATATATATATATATAATTTATTTTTTATGTTTAAAATCAAGCAAAGAAACAATAATTAAATAAAAATAACAGGTATAACAAGCAATACGAGAACCATTTGACTCACCTGACTGCCAGATATCCTTTGATACAGAGCTCAACAAACCATCGAAAGGGTGCGGCCTCAACTTTCCCTCCCATTACCATTACCATCTCTTCTGTCAGCTTAATATCTGGCTCAAACCCTAAGTTGCCACCAGGAGAACTCTCAAACATAAATCCAAAATCTGCAACCAAAATTCAATATACTTTTAATGCATTAAAATTTAGGTTACATTCAAATAATAAATTATGAAAAAAAAAGATAAATAATATTTATATTTAATTACCTAAAAAGATTTTATAAGACCAAGTCATGTGTTTGAGAGGTTGCATGAGAGAAATTGTAGAAAATTCATGATATCAAAGATTCCTATGAATTTATGCAAGACCACACCACCATGAAAATGAGGTACAGTGAAACCCCCATTATCCAGATCCCCATTTTCAAGATTCTTGGTCTATAGAAATATAATTCACCATCCCTGTTAACTGGAAATCCTTCTGGTTAATAGGGGTCCATGCCCATTAACCGGGAAGTCTTGGCACAGCATGGAAAAAGTAACAAAAAACCAGCGTTGAATGTAATGAAATGCCATTTTCTGGGCGAGCCCCAGAGGCTCTCTCGAGCAATCGGGCTAATGTGTGATATATTAGACCGGGGCATTAGTCTATGGAGTTTGACCTACCAGGGACCAAGAGCCAGAACCTGGCCCCTCCAGAGAGGTTTCAGGGAGCAATGGCCATGGAAAACCCCCAAGTGGGTATGGGTTTTCCTTATCTGCCATCGACCAGGGTTAGGCACCCAGAAAGGTAGGCATAACAAAACAAACCCCACATGGAAAGAAAAGTCCAACTAAATACCGAAAAGAGAGGCAGAACTCTCATGTCAAAGACCAGATGCGAGGAGCGGAGCTGCGGAAAACGTCCCGGGTTCGCACACCGAGCAAACAGTGCCTTGAACCAAGGATGGGCCGGCCACCAAGAGGCCACGAGGACTACTATTCCTTGGTAGAACTCCAACCAAGCCAGAACCTGAAGCAACAGCTGGACCGGAGGGAAGAGGTACAGGTAACCCCACCTCGACCAGTCCTGCTGAAAGGCGTTCACCTCATCAGCCTCACAGTTGGGGAAGGGCGCCACATAGATCAGTAGACACCGAAACCACATTGACGAGAAGAGGTCCACGTTCGGGAGTCAGTATGTCTGGCAGAGCCAACGGAAGGAGTAGGCATCAACCATCCATTCCGTGGACAGAGGAATGAACTGAAACAGGCCGTCCGCCAGGATGTTGAACACTCCGCAAATATGAACAGCACGGATAGCCAAACCCCGAGAACCCAGCAGACGAGCCACTCAGAGCGACCTGCCCCAAAGAGGCAAGAACTGAAGGGAACCCCCGCGGTTCAGGCAATGAACCACCAGAAAACAGTCAAAATGGAGCAGTTTGGTCGAACCCCTAGCGATCCAAACCCTCCAAAGCAAAAGCCAAACTGCCGTGAACTCTCGCACTGTGTTGTGAGCCCGACAAAAGGATGGACCCTATCGCCCCTGGCCGGCCTGGTGAGCAGTGGTCACAAAGCCCCAGCCGAGTGACAACATATCCGTGAACACATCGAATGAGGGTTCGGGTAGGCGCCAAGGGACTGAACCCCGGAAAACTCAGAAGCCAGCAATTCAGCAACCGATGCAAGGCCCCTGGAGTATAAACCCATCGATCACGAGAGATGTGGAAGAAGCGTCCCTGAAGGAACCAGAACAAACGCCGAAGTCAAACCCGACCCAGCGGGTAAACCAGCATGGCCAAGTTCAGACTCCCGCACAACTGCTCGAGAACCACCGAGTGACCTGAGCCCCCCCCCCCCCCCAGAAACAGCTGAAGATGGGACTGCAGCCTCAGCAATGCCTCCGAAGGGAGAGACATGAAAGTAGTCCGAGAATGCCAAACGAGACCCAGCTAGGTCCGAATCTGAGACGGAACCAGATGGGACTTCCTCCAATTCACCAGGAACCTGAACCCGGGGAGCTGGGAAAGAACCCTAACTTTAGCGAGCAGACAAGTGGACCGATTGGGAGTCTTCACCAGCCAGTCATCGAGGTAGGCCAGGACAAGCGGACCGACTGGGAGCCCACACCAGCCAGTCGTCGAGGTAGGCTAGGACAAGCGGACCGACTGGGAGCCCACACCAGCCAGTCGTCGAGGTAGGCCAGGACAAGCGGACTGACTGGGAACCTACACTAGCCAGTCATCGAGGTAGGCCAGGACCCATACTCTCTAGCAGACGCAGATGGGTCACCACGACCTGGGTAAGATGCGTGAATATGCGAGGTGTCAGACTTTAGCCAAAAGGAAGGCAACAAAAGTGGTAAGCCTGATGCCCCACCACGAAACCTAAGCAGTCTTTGAACCCCGGATGAATAGCAACACGCCAATATCGACCTTGAGGTCTAGGGATATCATTCAGGCACCCGGCTCCAAAAGAAGCCGGACCTGAGACAGAGTGGTCATCCGAAAGGAGTGACAAGGAATCCAGGGGTTCAGACAGGACAAGTCCAGAATGAACCTCAGATCCGCACATCTGAACCTCTGGCTTCAACACTGGAATCAGGATGAAAACGTCCATGAATTGTGGGACCAAGTGCGAGCAAACAGAGCAAGCCTCCTCCCATCGTCCTGTTATTGGGGCAAACCGCAAAAGGGTCGATGCCCCCTTACGAGAAGCCGGCCAACGAACAGAGCGATCATCTCGCCGACCAGATGATGCCAGCTCCAAAGGCAACGTCAGCTCCCAAGCTGGAACCAATAGCCCACCTAGACCAGCGGAACCCTGAGCCTTGGCATGACCCTTCCATGAAGGCCGAGAACGGCCGCCCTGGAGAACCAACAAGTCCGACACAGGATGACTACTAGAGAAAGCTGCATGCAGAAACTACGTGACAGCAGATTTCGCAAACAGCAATGGACAAAATGGTGATGGAAACCGAAGAGCCAGGGCCCAAGCGGATTCCAAAGAGAGCGAGCACAGCCTGATGGCATGCGAGGCAAGAAACAAAGAACAGACACACCGCTTTCTTCAGGACGGACACAAACAGCTTCAACAGTGCGGCTGATGCCCTAGCCACCAAGAACAGCACATCAGACGAAGTTCCGGCACTCAACACCTCCACATCTTCCTCGAGTCAGGCTGAAGACAGCTCAAGAAGGAAAAAAAGTGCAAGACCGAAGCCAAATGCCCACGGGCATGCAAATCCTCAGCAACCGAGGATGCCGAAAGGGTTAAGAAACCTGCACGTGCAGCTGCACAAGGCCAACATCCAGAGAAAGCACAGGGGCAAACAAGCTATGCATTAAGGTGCTCAAACTCACCCCCAAGGCAAACCTGCAGAACGGTAGAAGTTTCTCGTCACTCAAGTGTGGGGACCCAACAGAACCCATTCTACGCCCTCCAACGAAAAGAATGGGCAGTCTGCCAACCAGGAAGACTCCAGAACCTCCAAATGCACCCAATACAGGGAAGAGGAACCGAACTCAAATAAGGATGGATCCATCACGGAGGCAGAATCTAGATTTCGCAGGAGGCACGGAGCAAGTTCCTTCCGAACCTCCTTAGAGAAGATCAGAGAGGCAGAAAACTTCCAGAAGGATGGGGGGCCGAGGAACCCAAGGGAGCCTGGAATTGAACCTGGGGAGGAGCCGACTCCAAATTATACTCATACAGGGAAGGGGGGTAAGAAAACCCCTTCCCCTGCAACACCAAGACCCGCAAAGAGGGCATCAATACCCAAGTGGGGTCAAAGGGGGGCCAAGGCCCCCAGGTCAACTCCTCCCCAGCCTTGGGATCCCCTAAGTCGGGACCCAGGCCAGAGCATTCCTCCATACCCTCTATTCCTGAAGAAAAAGCAGAGTACAGGGGAAAGGCAGAAAAGAAGGGGGTCCTGCTAGTGGGACCCAGAAGCCTCGGTAGGTGAAACCAGTTTGAATGCCTCCGTCCCCAACCTGAACTGGTCAGCCTCCGAAGCTGCCGAATCTCATTATCAACGAAACCCTGCTGCGATTCCGAAACCCCTCAGACATTTGGGAGCTGGAAGCAGGGGAAGGTGCAGGATGAACAACATGGGAAGGACCAGAGAGCACAGACTGAACTAAAGTCGAAGCAACTAACGCCCCCAGGTCTGGGTCCCTATAACCAAAGTTGGGCAGCGGCGAGGCATCCGGGTGGTAAACCAACCTAGCACGTTGCAGCAGCCTAAACCTAGCATGCAATGAGGATGCTGCCTGTACCCTAACAGTAATGTCATCAGAATAGTACTGGAAAACAAGCAGAGAACACGACTCGAATCAAATTATATGTCTTAAATTATCCATATTTTAAATTATTTTGATATCCAGAGGAACCAAACGTTCCTCATAATAGCGGTTGCATTGTACAGTAAATATTATGTACATACTTTACTGTTCAGTATACTATTATTCAGGTCCTAACATTACCTTATTGCTAATGGAATCCTTTGGTAATCTAAATTAGTTTAAAATGGAAATTATGCACTACACATAACAACGATAGCAAATACAAAGCGAATAATTCCATACCAATGTGTATAATGTGACCATCAGTATCCAGCATAATATTTCCATTGTGCCTGTCCTTAATCTGGAGCAAAAATCCAACCAGCGAATACGCCGCCATTGACTTCACAAAATTGGAGCGTGCTTGTTGAAACTTGTGGGAGTTTTCATCACCATATAGGTCAAGGAAGTACTGATACATACCCGTATCAGTACTACGACCAAGCTGGTCCCGAGATTTGGCATTGGGTACACACTCAATCACACCACACTAGAGGTAAGAAAATTATAACACGATATTGTAAATGATTATAACAAAAAGCTTATGTTGCTAACATAAAATGTTTACAAGAATCTTTGAAATCTATAATTTACAACTGTGCACAATAAGTAAAAACTCTTCAGTTAGTAAAATCCAAAACTAAAATATTAAGAAACCTATGTACAGTACAGAATTATATTAACTTTAAAAAATATTAAATTTAAAACATTCCTAATGAAAATGTCTGCAACAATTGACAATAAACAAAATATTTTATTGGAATAAGTTTATGAGAACGCTGTTATGCAATAAATGACTTCAAAGATGTATATTTAAATGCTAATAAACTACTGTATATTAATATCGTGATTTAATTTTGTCGAGTCACAATCGGTGCATTTTCTTAGCTCAAATGAAAGATATGTATTTGCATATATTATACTGAACTATGATATACCAGGTAAGACTTCCATGGAGAACCTCAGCATTAAATGTAATAAAGTGCCTCTTTCACCAGCACAGCCACTCCTTTTCCCTTCCTTGTTTTCCTGTCACGTCTCCAAACTGAGTAACCCCTTGGGAATACGGCCTCATTTATAATATTTTCTTCACGTTTCGTCTGTTAATGCAACAATATCTGGGACTTCGAGCTGAATTATATCCTTGAACTCCAATATTTTTTATCTCACTCTATCTATGTTGGGATACTGTATATTTTCAGGAACATTCCCTTTGTTCTTTACACCCCTTTCCTTTAATGATTTTGTTGCTTTGTCTTTATGTGTGTGTGTGTTTTGTTTTGTTTTATTGTTTAAATTCATATAAAATCAATTTCTCAACATATTGGAATGAAATTGTCATAACACTGATGCCAAATACGGTAGATTTATTTAACATGTTATACTATACAGTATTTCATATTTTGATGAATATTTTAGAGATCTCGCCCCCTTAAGTCATTAAAAGAGGATATCAGTCTCACCCCAGGAGAGGTAGCTACAACACAGTAAGGGAAGAGGAACAAATCAAGTCCAACAGTCTGGAAAATGTTCTTGAAGATGGAGATGACTTGGAGCGCAAGCATATCTTGCCTCACATCATCGCCCACCTGCAGATATGACATAATACAATATATTTATTAATCTACATTTTGATATCAATACAGAGAGGCATACATTAGAGAACTAAACAGAACAACCAACTGACTTCGTCAGAGTGATATTTAATGAATTATGGTTCTCTCAAGATAAACGCAATACAGTAGCACAGTATTAATACATGAACATCAAACACAGTACTGTGATCTAAGCAATACAGCTGCCATTATAAGAACACACACATGGTACCCAACAGTACAAGTGTACTGTTGGCTACCCTGTATCCCTCCCCTGTATCATGAGACACAGTGCTGTGTCTCATGATACAAGCAAGCAAGCAACTTCATATTTTGATTTTAAATAATAAAAGCCTACATAGTTGAAATAGTCATTATTTATGCACAGAAAAAGAAATGCCTATCATACTCATAATAATAATAATAATAATAACGATAACTTAAAAAATATACAGAACATAATACGGTGGCTAATTGATGGTCACAAAGTATGCATATTTAATAAAGTAATAATATTAATTAATGTCAGTCACTCAAACTACCAGTACACACAACACAAATATTAGAAAGACATTGTTTTTACATTAATAAACTGTACCTTTTATATATAATTAGTCTTTTTAGTAAAATTAGCCAGCATGGGTTTATTCTAAATATTTATAGCCAAGGATGAGTCAGCTTAGCTACGCTCTCTCTAGCACACTCAGAATTTAATCAATGATGCAATTTATGGTAGTGTTCCGTTGTCAGGGACAGGAAATATAAGCCGTGATAGGGTTATCAAGGTTTCCTGAGGCCAACTAATGACTTCTCAGGATGTAACCTATAACAGATGCCTAACACCCAACACAGTAGGGTCCCTTGATTGTTTCAAGCATAGGTTAGACATACATAAATGAGACTGGGTGGTTATAAACAGGAGCTGCCTCGTACGGGCCAATAGGCCTTTTGCAGTTATCTTCATTTTTATGTTCTCATTTTTTTTTTCTCTCTCTCCTTTATCTCTCACCATCTCTCTCTCTCATTATCAGGGTTAATTATATTTTCCTCTGCAGTTGTGTGTTTTTTTAGCGCTCTACTTTACTGGTATTCCCGGCTCCCTATGCCTCTGAGTGGAAAAGAATCTGTCTCTGATTTCCAATAGGCATTTTATAATTTGCAAGGGCCTGGTGTAACATGATGCATGTAAAGCTATCTTAGATGCCACCAGGAAAAACAATTAATGAAAATTACTTTGCGTGATGAACTGGAGATCAGGGTTTCATTGCATTCCCCCTCTAAAATCCAATTTTTTCTGGGAGCATACTTGGGCCTTTGTTTAGAGGCATCCAATATAAATAACTCCAGATTTGGTAGGATGTGCAGAATAATAATATAAATATGGTGCTTTACCTTAAATATTGCTGCTTGCCAGATTACAGGTCCAATATTAGTACTGACTTCCTGTCCCGAACTAACTGCCATTCCTTGCTTCTCGAGTTCCATTATTCCACACTTGCAGACTTTGAATCGAGCAAGGTATGGAGCCTTTGCAGCACTTGTGTGGGAACAAAAAAACAGTTTAACAATTACAGTACAGTATAATACATACATATATTATACAAAATATACAAATGTACATACACATTATATTATGCAGTTTTCAATTTTATAGGTTGGAAAGGAATCAGCCCAGAGAAAAAAATTCAAACATTGAATGTAATGAAATGTGTGCAGTCCTCAGTAGCTCACTGGCTTAAGACTCTAGACCCAGAAAGCCTTCCAATTATATCACTGGGAAACGGGTTCAGATAGAAAATGACTCAAAGAGGATCTTGGGTCAACCAGAACAAACACTGCTCTTAACAAAGAAATAAAATTAAGAAAACAAGGCAAATATTTGTTGGGAATGGGAATAAAAATTTGTTGGGAATACATTCCTTAGGATGTAATGGCACTTTTTTTGCCTTATCACTACAGAGGATCAAATTCTAGCCAAAAACTAAATATTTAAATTTGTGGCTATATATTACATGTGCAGTAATAACAACGAATTCTCTTTCCAAATGTGCCATAAAAATGTAAATAATAATTACTGTAATAGAAAACATATATATACAGTATATCTTTGAGGCTCCATTTTCTTGTAGAAAATATGATCCAAGTGATCTAAAATCAGTCTGTATGTGGTCCCAAGACATACCGGGTAATTATAATAAACATTACAATTAGCATTACAATTACTTATTATCTAATATTGCACAGTTTATCAAAACTAAGAATAATTTAGGGACAATCTTGTATTTCTAGTTACTAATAAGTACTGTACTAAGAATGATATAATGAAAACAGATTACTACAAGCTTACCTTTGCATGGGAGTTCCACTCTTACGGTCAATGTCAAGGATGATGGCCTCTGGGTTAGATGGCAAATAGCAGCCTGATTGGACTAGAATATCATGTAAAGCCTTTAGGCATGCCTTCTTTCTCTCTTGTCCTTCAAAACAGAAAAAATATCTTACAATACATTACTGTATATATATAAAATATAATGTAACTAATAATTAACATGCACTCAATACAATATATAATATTTATTTGCAATCAGGCTGTGACTTATACGTCAGTCCACCAGTCTGATTGACCAGACCACCAACCAGGTCTGGTCAGAGATTGGGCTGCAGGAATGCTGATCCTCGAAATCTTCAAGAGGTAATCAAAAAGTAGCTTCCAAATTTCTCTCTTACTGGGATTATTTTTTAGTAATGCCCTCTTAAAATAAATACTGTATATAAGTACTCAACTATGAACTAGAAACTTTTCATTTCTACTATCCTTCAAGAACTGTTACTTTAATGTTAACAATTATTTAACTTTCCTTATATTTTTTACTACTACTATTGATTTTATTGTATGTAATATGGCATATCAGTATTCATGACTATAAATACTGGTGGGTAATTTGGTTAATGGGCTGTGGAGTCACTAATACCAAGATATATTGTTTTTGGAGTATTAACTATATTAATATGCATTATTAATAATACTGTAATATGCATTATTAATGATACTGTAATATGCATCATTAATGATACTGTAATATGCATCATTAATAATACTGTAATATGCATTATTACTGCCTGTTTATTAATTAAAAACAGCACAATGTCATGAAATGCACTTTCTGGAGACCCAGTGGCTTCTGATAAAGCCCCAGTGTCACATCAGCCAGAAGAGGCCTGTATGGTCTACCAGGGACTAGGGTCAGAAGCTGGCCCCCCAACACAGATGCATGTGGAGCAGCAATTTGTTATAATTACCCACACCAAGAAAGCATCCAAAAATTAAACAAGAGGCACCAAAACGTCTGTGGTTTTGTGCGACGTTCAGGCACCCGGGCATAGACTTCTTCATGTCAGTGTGGACTTTGAGTCCTTCCCTTGTATGCAGCTCCATTTCCTAATTGCAAGCCCCTCATGGAGAATGCCTTTTGGCTGGACTGGTTGAAGTGAGGGTTCCTGTATATCTTGCTTCCAGTACAGCTTTTGTAGGGGAATAAGCTCGTGCTTGTTCCGAGAGAATTAGATTGTTTGTTTATATAGCTGGGGGGAGTTCTTTTGCCAGATTTTGAGTTGGTCTCTATTGAAGTCAACCGTAGTTTCTTTTAGCTTGCTGACTTTCTGGTTGTCTTCCCCAGTGGTGGCAAAAATACATGATACTGCTCCTGGCAACTCTTTGAGAGGGTCAGATTCTGGCAGATCCCCAGTAGGCCTGTAGAAATCCATGGCTGATGAGAGTTGATATATGGTACCATCTCAGCACATTATAGCTTCAGGAAGCCACCAGGGTTCACCCAGAAATTGGCGTTTCATTACAATCAACCATTCAACACTGTCCCCCCCCCCCTCCCATGTTCGGGGAATGCAATTTAACAATACAGTATTAGAAGAAGACAATTTTTTTGTTTGTTTCCCCTGTGGACTGTAGAATGTCAGCTATAAACAGTGGTGAAGTGCTGGGATTAATGTAAGTTGCTAGTACATCATAATATACACTTTTAGTCATTGATTTTGTTCGATAATATTATTAGAATAATATTATACAATAATAACACTTGTTTTATATGTATTTCATAGTTCAGTAGTTTGAAACTGAAGTCGGCTAAGTCAGTGAACTGTGGCCCACAGAAAAATTCAAACACCATCCACTCTACTAAAAAGTTACTTGTCAAAGGAAGTGAGTAAATCTGGCCTGCAAAATGTGTTGCAACTGGTCATATGTAAAAATTTGAGTGAAGGACTATAAAAAAAAACACATAACTGAATAATACAAGAACAAGGAATAGCAAAAAGGAGAGAAGGAACAATAACACACAATACTCACCTTTAGGATATGGCTTGATAATAGCAGATATGTTGGTAACTTTGCCAAAGAAATCAAATTCTCTCTCATAGAACTGTTTTGCTGGTCCCGACAAATTTGCTAACATTATTTTCTCAAGGTTCTCAATAACTTCATATAAATCCGCTAGAAAAAAAAGGAAATATCATTTGATTATTTTATCATACAAGAATATATTTTGTCCAACTGAACAAGTATAAAAGCTTTAAAAAATGGCTTCAGATACACTCTGGTTTACCTGTATATTTCAGAAAAAAGATATATTTATTTTTACCTTTAACCACTGCACTGCGCAAAGCGCCTTTAGGCGCTCGGAGAGTTGTGCTTTTTGTTTTTTAATTTGGCTATATTTTAATGTTTTTTAATGTTTTCATTACTATTTGTGTTTTGAAATGGAAATAGTTGACTTTGGAAACATTTTGACATTAAATTTACCTGAACATTTGTAAAAATAACAAAAATATGTCCTTGACAATGGCACCAAGACGTTTTTGCCGAAAATAGGTGAGCAGTGCAAGGGTTAAAAATGGCTACAGGTTTTCAAAATACAATGCCTATCGGAAATATGATTCTTCAGGGTTATTTGTGAGTGGAATTCAAAGTGATTGCACGTATTTGGGGTTTTAAATTACAACTTTTTATACAGAAAATATGCAAATTAGTGAAGACGGTAATTGGTCAGATTTGATGCAAATCCTCCTGCAGTTTTCAAAATACGATGCCTATAGTAAATATGACACTTGAGCATTATTTGAGAGCAGAATTCAGTGTGATTGCACGTATTTGGAGTTTTAAATTGCGACTTTTTATACCAAAAATGTGCAAATTAGTAAAAACACCGATTGGCGAGATGTTTCCCAAATCCCCCTGCAGTTTTCAAAATACGATGCCTATCGGAAATAAAGTACTGCAAATATATGATGTACTTGTAGTTCAAATGTTACCAGGGTGTTAATTGGTACAAAGATTATCAAGGTTCTAATTATATATAAATTTACTGTACTATGATTCTTAGGGGATATATATTGTTTATATAGGCAAGGTGTATATGATTAGCACTGTCTACAATATGTACTAGCATTATTAAGTAAGAAATACTAGAAATACTAGAGGCCCACACAAAATGACATGATATTATTACCATGTGACAACTACTGCAGTTACTTCCATAACTAAAAATAGAGCATTAAGCATGCATTGGTATCACCAAGCCAATACTATCTTGCCAGATGTCTCAGAATTTTTCCTGGCTTCCCAGGAGCAGGGACCAAAATCTTAATCCACCTCACAGAGGAGGGGAGGCTGAGGATGTCAAGAGAGAACAACATGTCACAGGGGGCTGAAGAATTAACTCATCATTATCTAGGTGTTAATGTGGGGAAGAGGTTCGCAAGTAGTATCCCAGATGTCATAAACATACAGAGATCAGTTATGGAAGGTGGGTGACGATTATTGTGCGACGTACTGGGGACCATGAGACAGAACCTGGCCCCCTCAGAGAGGTTGCAGGGAGCAATGGGAGCTTTTGTTGGCAGGGGTTTTCCTGAGTGTGCAATGTATATCATAACCTCAGCTTTCCTGCCTCTGTGAGGGGACAGAGGCATGAGAAAGTCTGGGAAGTCTAGCGAGATGTACTGGCCCATGGTACCAATGCATAAGTTGTGGAAATCCAATTAGGGTGTCACCCTAGAAAACCAAAAAATTATGCAGAAAATTGCAAAACTTTTACCATCTTTCTCATGACCCTCTTCATCCCTGTATTTATTAGTTTCCATGTTCCAAATCAGCTGGTGTAGTAGTAGCTGTGATTTCTTCGCAGCTAACTTGATCAGCTCAGCAACATAACCCATCTGAAGGAAAATAAATGTGTCCATTACTGAAAATTTTACATATATATTAAATATAACTAGAGTTTAATTGAAAAAGAGGTGTGGTCTTGATGCCTTGGAGATGCTTGGTGCCTGGAATAAAAGTGCCACCGTTTTTTTTTTTTAAGGAGATGGGTTCTAAGCTAATTGAAACAATAAGAAATTTTTGAGCTGCCAGCTTCCTCTTCCAGCACCTCAGTGTGGTGATAAAAATGGACACACTGCATCCATGACTGCTGCCCACCAACTGAAAAGATGCAGGAACTTGACAACCTGTGACAACTAACCATGTACCTTGCATGTAACCAATGTTGTAACCCATTTTGTGTAATGAAGTTTTAAATAAAATAAATTACAAATTACAAATATATAGAGGTGGTAGGAGAAGACAATATGTGAATGCATGTGGAAGACCCACAAGGCTTCTCTGGATATTACATATCCTCTACTTTGAGGTCAAGGGTCCCTACAAATACAACCAGATGTAGTACCCCTATATATATACAATTAAATATTATTGCTTTAATGAACATATTTTCTTTCCTTTCCTCTGGGGAAAGGAAACTTCAAATAAATAAATGAAGTATGTTCTTAAATTAGGTGTTTAGTACTTTAGTACTAAACTTAGTTTAGTTTATACAGTACTTTAAATTCTTATGTAATCTTATTAAGATATAAATACAACCCTAAATAAATACATAATAAATACAACCCTATTTTTAACAATAGTTTTATGACACTATAGTACACTATTAAACTTTTAAGTAACTAGTATGTTTTGACATATCCACACCTACCTCAATTTCATGCAGTCTGAATGCTGTGGAGTTAGCTGTACTGTCCTATATAAAGACTGCCTTAATAATTTACAAATTGCCATTGAAACTTACTGAGTCATATCGAAGGGCTTGGGTTAACTGAGGAATGTAAAACAAAAGTGTGTCTGGGGGATAGCTGGTGAGAACCCTCACAGCATACTGGGCTGTCAAAGGGTGCGGTGAGTACTGGCGTGAGAAGTAAGCAAGGGCCTTCACAGGAGGCACTGGTGCCCACGTCAGCATGTAGTTCAGCTAAAATAAATAGAGAATTTATTTATGCAATGCAGCATTAATTAGCCTTTTAATAACTAAGAGTTGCAAAAACTTTAACAACTAACTGTAATTACCAGAAAGAAACTTCTAATACATTTTAATTACTATAATATTTATTACTGTTTACTGCTTTCACAACGTGAGGAAGCATTAATCCAGAGAAATCAGCAGAACATTAGGGGAAAAAGGTTAAAATATACAAAATGATACCCATTAAATAACCATAACTTCAATACAAAACAATTTAAGAGAGACGCACCATCAACACACACTTCAGCAAATATGCAATCAACTTAAGTTTCAATTTGTTACCTTTTAATTTTAGTAATTTCTTATGACATTAAAGTACAATGCACACATCTAAGATCATGGTGAGATCCTGACCATTAAACAATTTCTAGCGAATCACATTTCCCCTAAATTTTTCATTTTTTTTATTATTAAACATAAATCAGAGAAGGTGCCAGATATGTTATTCTGTAAATGGTTGAGACCATATCTCCATAATTATTTATTGGAATTGGGATAGGTTCCCAAAATATTCCATAGAGGAACTTGAGCACTTGAAAGAATTTTGGGTGTGGTAAATTGATGGGAGGGAGGGAGAGGGAGTCATTACCACCCTGATTTTAACTTTTCCACTGAGCAACACGGCTTTGATTGATAAAGCTAATTATCTGCAAACTGCACAATATGGGCTGGGACAGGTTTCAAGAACTGCATAAAATCCAAAAGTTTCACTGGGTAAACTGGACAATCAGATGCTGCCCCAGGGAGGGGGATAGTAAACAACCTTTTAACTTGAAAAAATCCTTAGAAGGCTGCATTGGTGGTAATGTCTCAGTTTGTATAAAGGTATCATGGCTGATGCACGCCTCTCTGCTTCACAAAGCTGCTCTGAGGCTCGCTACACACAACGGCTGGCTGATGATGAAAGACTGATGATGAAATTCAGAAGAAACTTATGGAAACAGATGAGGAAAGTATCAATGATGATTCTGATAATGATATGGATTATGCTCAGGGAAAACCTAGCTTGCAAAGTAGCAGCTACCTGAAAAAGTTTCCAATTGTGAAGTGGAATAAGTAAGACTACGGGGATTACAGTACCAAGGCCTGAAGGTAGTTAATAAAGCAAAAATCCCATGCACAAGGGCCACTTGCCAAAAGAAGTCACCAAATGCAACCAAAACAATGAGACAACAAATGGCGACCGCAGAGCACCACATGAACAAGCACACTTAACACTGCCGCACCCCAGCATAACCAAAAGAATACCCAAAGACCCAAACACACAAACCAAAGATTCGTGATTAGTTGAGCAAAGTTCACCATCCCAGTGGCCAGGCCTCTCAGGGGGCAAACTTTCAAACATATCAGAAAAGATTACTCTGACTGTGCAAGGGCAGCATTAATGAGTGCCCTAGGAAAAAACCCTGAGTGCATCTCTCTCTCTCAAAACATGTTCAAAAGAGATCTAAACCTACCTCTGGAATGTCAGAAAGGATATTTTCTGATGTAGCCAAGTACTGTAAGGCATCTGGCAGGTGACTAACAGCTATGGGATTGTCTCTCACTAAGTGGCTGATTTCTGCATCTAATCCCTGGACATTGTGAATCCTGCAAATTCAAGATCCAGTTACCTGTATTTTCAAAAGCACTTGTTGAAATAATTGTCAATATAATTTCTTAATATGCAAGATTTTTGACTACAGAACAATCACAATATAATAAAAGCATCACACCTTGTTGGTAAAAACACAGCTAATGCAGGCGATATGCTCCAAGCTAGATTTGTGTTTCCACTCCATGCCTTAGGGCTGTTGAAGCCACCAGACAACCACTTGACAATGGCTTCTTCCTGAGTTGTGGTTACTTCTCCGCCTTGTCCTGCAGGTCGAGGTGGCTGCAGCCAAACCTTCAAGGTCTGAATTTCAACAGCCTGAAATAAAATATAAGATCTTGAAAGCAAACTTTCAGCTGCAACTGTGATGTTAGAAATGATTATTAACCCTTAGATAGCGGACATCATTAATTGTTGGTTCAAAGGGTATTGTGGTTATCATCATAAGAGCTAAACGATTACTGTCTGGGTTTTACATGTATAATGCAAATATGGATATAATAGGTCTATGTGGCTGTAATGAAGTTCACCTTGATCCATGAAAGAAAATCCTGCTGCCATTGCATGGTATGAATGCAGTTATTGTCATGAATGTTATTAAGGGGAATACCGTTATCGTCATGAATGTTGCTAGGGGAATACTATTATCATCATATGACAATTTAAACAATGTTTGACTGTTTAAGACAATCATTTAAAATGTCGGTCCTGAAAGAGTCAAGAAAGGAAATACAAAACAACACAAACAGAAACAGAAGTCAATCTACGAAGAGAAAGGAAACTTTGAAAAGAAGACTAAGAGACTTCATACTGTTGCGAAGAAGACTGCAGGTGGGACACCATGAGAGAAGCCATCTGATCATGGTTGTTTGAACAACCCTCAAACTTGCACAAGGCACGATGAACTCGGAGGACATATCCATAGTCACCCGAGCCCCGTCAGGGATTTTCAGGGCCCGCAAGGGAAGGTCCCTACGGGAAGCCCAGGCACTGGTGCTGCAAAGCTGATTGAACCCTGTCTATATACCAGGCACGCCGACCCTTGAGAAGGGAGCAACATCAGGGGCTGAGTGGAGGACTACCAAACAGAACCTAGGCATACCTAATGAGAAGCCAGGCAGCCCTCCACCAAGCAGGAAAGAAACTAAAAAGAATGAAAAGAAACCCCAAAAGTGTTCCACAACAACAGAAGACCAAAGAGTCATGACCGCTGCTTGAATGTGAGCTGAGCAGCAGCATGCACCCCAACCAGCAACAAACACTCCCTACCCAGGGACACACGAAAGCACCAAGACCACTGCTGACCCCAAGGGCAAGGCTGATATCTAGTGACAACAACCCCTATGAGAGTGAGAACCCAAAGGCCCCAGGGAAGATAACCCTGAGGCCCATGGGATGTACTTACAGGGCGTCCAGGGAAGATAACCCTAAGCGAATGCAGCCTGAGGTACTGGTACTCTTGGACAACGCCCCAACACACGACAGGTACAATCACTAGAGGCAAAATCCTGACAGATAATGGCAGCCACAGTAGACGAACTAGCAGTCTAGCGGACAGCTCGGTGGGGAGGGGAGGGGTGAGGCGAGAATGAACGGCACATCGGGTCGATGATTATTGCTTATTACCTTGTTTTACTTGGGGAGGGAAGGAGTCGTCGTTGGGCTCTGTTCAGGCTTTCTGGGTGCCTAACCCCAGTCGATGGCAGACATGAATATACTCTCAAAGAGTGGAGTTTTCATAGGTCATTGCTCCCTTTGCCTCTCTGAAGGAACCAGTGGCCAGATTCACAAAGCAGTTACGCAAGCACTTACGAACCTGTACATCTTTTCTCAATCTTTGGCAGTTTTCTTTACAATTATTAAACAGTTAATTTTCTCCGAAGCATCAGGAGGCTGTTTATAACAATAATAACAGTTGATTGGGAAGTTTTCATGCTTGTAAACTGTTTAATAAATGTAACCAAAGTCGTCAAAGTTTGAAGAAAGATGTACACGTTCGTAAGTACCTGTGTAACTGCTTCGTGATTCCGGGTGTCCAGGTTCTGGCTCGTGGATTCTGGTAGGCAAAGAACTCAGTATGACAGAAACCCCAGACTAATATAGCTACTGTAATATCAGTCCAATAGCTCCAGTGAGCCGACAGGGCTCCCCTCAGAAAAGCATTATGATCAATCTTCTCAGCATGGTCTAGGTACCGAAGCAAGTCTACTAGCACTGAGTTTTGAACAGGAGCAAGGAATTTCAAGTTGAATTTGATCTATTACAAGGAATGTTTTCTCCTCTTGCCATCATATGGCTACAAGACCCAAATTCCTGATTTGATGGCTAGATGTTATGCATGAACATTAAAGGATATATACCAGTTTATTGAGGCTTTTGGTAAAACTTCCTTTCAGCAGTAAAAGACTGTTTTCCAGAGGGGGAGGAGTTCAGCTTCGTTTTACAACCAGTTAACCACCACTGCCATTTTTTATTCAAGGGTGATAATCCAGGCAATAAAAAGGGACAGTGAAGGCCTAGTTTTTATTAATAAAATATTAACAATGTATTTAATATTCTGGAGACTATACTAGTTGAAAACAAAATTATTACTCACCAGCAAAGACAGGATCAGAGCTCTCTTCTTGAGGTAATCTTTAACGTAAATATCTGGGTTGATGAGTCTCTTACTACGTGTAGATCTTTTGGATAGAGTGGAGGTGTTCGATGAAAGAGGAACAGTGTTAATCCACCCATTTGTAATAACAAATTCCCCTGATGTAGACCTGAGATCCGATGCCACAGAGGGTGATAGTGAAGCTCCTCCACCATACTGGTAAGATGTGAAGTCTGAAAGTTACAAAATAAACAAATGTTTTTATACATTTTTTAATTATTTAAAAAAAATGATTATTTTCTTATTATTTAAACAAATAAATAATAAATAATACTAATAATACTATGAACTTTACCTATGAATGAACATGGGCCCATTGCATACAAAATTGCATAGCCAGATTTTGGGCTCATGGGGCTCACATTTGCTTCCTCAGGTTTCCACTAAATAGCAGCCAACTTGGAAAAATCTGTGGGCATCCCTCCTGGGTGTGAAAGCCTCAGTACTGAGAGTGACCATGGACAGCGCATGCTGCAACAACTCTCAGCACCTCATGCAGCTTGTGCCCACAACATCAATTAATAATGACAAAATAAGTAACTATGATTATTTTGTGATGAAGTGTCATAGAAGATCCAAACTATGATAAAAGACTATGTACAAGGTTCAGAAGTCAGTGAACACTATGCTAGTTATGACGATCACAGTATAAGGCAGACATCCACAGCACACAGCCACGGATTCGTGCATCTACACATCATGAAATGGAACATCATATCCTTTATAAAATAAAGTTGTGGAAAATATCATATTTATGATTCAGTGACCAAAATTCTGATAATAACAACAGTGTGTAACTAGAGTTACCAATGAGCATAGTATATTATGAGGCATTTTGCTGTCATGTGGTGTCATCAGCCAAATAGCATGTGGTGATATGCTGTGCTTGATTTCATTACCCCACACACCAAAACTGTTAAGTGGTTCGTTATGGTGCATAAAAATATAGATCAGTAAATGTAAAGCGGCACAGCAGTGGAGAGTGACGTTTGCTTGTTTCCTTGGTATTGGAGGGAGTTCTGCCTCTTCTTTTTTTTGTACTTTTCTTACCATGTGGGATTTGTTTTGTTAACCCTACCTTTCTGGGTGCCTAACCCTGTTCGATGGCAGATAAGGAAAACCACCAACCACAGGGGAATTTGCAGGGGCCCCTGTGGTTTTCCAGGGCCATTGCTCCCTGCAACCTCTCTGATGGGGCTAGGTTCGGGCTTGTGGTCCCCAGTAGGTCGAACTCCATAGACTAATGCCCCAGTCTAATGTATCACACATTAGCCCAATAGCTCCTGGGAGCCGAAGGGGCTCCTGACAGAAACCAATGATAAAAACCTTAACAATACATGTATTATTTATTCAATGAGTGCAGTTACAATTTTAAACAAAATATGAGAAGCAATGCTGAATGATAACTGGTTGCGAGATAATGAAACCAACTAAAACTGCTTAGAGGTTCATAATACCATAGTGCATGTAATAAAATATATATATATATAGTGCAATATCAACAAAAATAATGTTTAATTGTTTAAAGAGCAGGTCCAGCAAGAGCAGCAAAGAGTAATATTGTGAGCATATTAGTAAAACACAAATATATTTGCATACCTATGTTTTACATGTTCTGTGATATAAATAACATTATTAACAGCCCAATGCATCATTGCACTTGAAAAAGCAGTTGTAAAAACAGAAAAAATAGGACAAAAATATTATATATTTAATGCATGTAGTTTCAATTTCATGCAAAACATGCGGAGATAGGCTGAACTCTGATAACTGGTTACAAGAGTATTACACTCACCAGAACTGCTTACTGATTTGTAATGGTGCATACAAATGTAGATTGTTACATATACATGTACATATAGTGTAATAGCAAAAATAGTATATCTTATTGTTCTAAGAATATAACACTGTGCACATATTAGTAACATGAATATATACTGTATTTGAGCATTCCAATGATCCAAACATTTTATTATACAAGTTTATCATATGACACACTACTGAATAATATTCCTGCAAAACACCTGAGAAAAACAAATCAGAGGCATAGAAATAAATATCAAAATGTACCTTCACGGCAACTCCCACCCCATGGCGTGGCCAGGGCGACCACTATGGGGCTATTATTGTTTCATCATCACTTGTGAATCGAGACGTCATCTTGCGAGGATTTCTGTGAGATTTTCACGCTTTACCTCAGCCAAAACATGTCACACATAATTTTTCTTCGTGTGGTGAAGGAATGCATTTTTAGCAATATCAGAAAGAAAAACTATTTTAAATATATTTTTTCTTACACACTGGGGAAGAGATACCAATCTTAATTCTATACCTTGATTTACAAGTTATAGAATTTACCTTGATTTGCAAGATAGAGTATAGGCTTTAGTTAAAAACCAATCATATAATTGTTTTAAGTATACAGTATTCAATGGTTTTCAACATCAATCAAATTCTCAGATGTTACAACCATTTAGGAAAACCATGAGAATGTAACTGTATAGAATTTTCACCCTCATCCTGAGTATTTCCATGCTCTGGTCCTTAACTCTTGAAGTGCCGTTATCATTATACAGGCATACCTCAGTTTAAGAGTTTAATTGGTTCCTGGAGACGCCTCGTATTCCGAAGCTAATTTCCCCATAAGAAATAAAGGGAAATGAATTAATCCGTTCCTGACTACCCCAAAAACCCCACATCAAACTAAATTTTTATACCTAATTCATCTAAATAAACCTACAAAACTATGTTCAAGTTATTACTTACCTTGCTGTTGAATGCTGTAGGCGTATGGAAGATGGTGACGAGGTGGGAGAAAGAGAGGAGTTACTGTTTGGAAGGGGAGTCCCCTTCCATTATCACATCAGGCAGTGAGGACTTCACTGGTATGCACACACTGGCACATTTTGCCTGCATACCACTAGGACTTGCTTGTTTTACTAAGAATTTGTCTAATGACACTTGTTTTTCCCTACATTTTAACACTTGTCTGTAGTAAGACATCACATTATCATTTAAAATGTCAATGCAACAGCCTGCTACAGCTTTATCTGGGTGAGTTTTTTCAACAAAATTTTGCAGTTCTTCCCATACTTCACACATTTTCTTAATCAAGAAGGGACATCCTCTACTGCCTCTACTCACAGCTATTTTCTTAGGTTGAACCTTACCAATGGCTTTCTTGAGACCCATGGCAAGATATATAATGACAACTTTTATGCTCAAATAGCCAAAAAAACGATAAAAAACTGTAAATCCTTGTGAAGAATTCAGGTGGGATAGTCACTGGACACGAGACACTGGTAAACTGAGGCACGATCGCCATGCCAGCACGCGCCAGTCGGCCTGTACACGTATCAACAAACTCGCGTCCCGAGGTAACCCTCGCCTTCCGAGACATATTTTTGGAGTAAATCCTGCTCGTCTTCCGAAAAACTCGCATACAGGGACACTCGCATTCCGAGGTACCACTGTATGTGTATTTAATGGGTACTGTGATTATCCTTTGATGATTTTAGTTATCACCCGACTACATCATAGAAATTATATAAATGTGGTTACAATACACCTATATGGATGTAATGGAGTTAACCTAGACCCATGAACAAAATTATGCTATTATTGTTAATTGTGCATTATTGATGAGGTTGTCTTGAATCACCAAATCACAATCTGGTGTTTCCCCACCAGTGTTTGGACAACCTACTTCTGGACAACATTACCAGACATAAAAGCTGGGAGTGAGCAGTTGGTTGGACTTGAATAGCTGGCTGTATGTAGTTAGGAGTCGATGGCTTCAAGCGACTCGTGTTGTACTTGCAGGAGATGTATTAACATAAGCATTTATTGTTTGGTAGGATTTAACTCATATATTCCTAATTTGGGAAACAAAATGACTTCATAGTTCTTCTCTGTTGTTACATTCTACTTTAGAAAAAGAGCAAAGATGGAGGTAGCTTGCTTGGTGGGCTGAATTTCCTTATCCAAAACACTGATGAAAATTCACCCGAAAAAATGTGACAGGATACCAACATTTATCCAATCCCTGAAACAACACTAGCATACATTAATTTGGACAAGGGAAGTTGCTTTATTTTCAGTATATGAGAAAAGAAACTAACCTCCAATCACACTTGTTTTTAAATATTTTTTGTCAGCATGGAGAGAATTCCAAAAATGAAGAAGTGCATTGATGTCATCTTGAAGTCGAGCTGGACGTTGCGTAGGGCAACCACGGGCAGCACAGAAGTAATCCAAACAAGCACAATAAATTCGCTCACGTAACACATTCTTGCTCAATGACTTTGGAATTGCATCACCTGTTGGTTAAAGTTATGCTCTCATATTATAATTCTTGCGACAAGGCATAATAAATAAAGTCAATGTTCAGTGGAAATTTGATTTCGCAGAATCTTCACAGATTATTTACCCTGAATTAGAGTGAGTGCACAGGAGAGGAGTCGGAATCGGGTGCCCAGAGCACCAATGTGACGGTTGATCTTAGAGTCGGGGTTACCCACAGTCATGTGTAGCGTCCGGTGAAACATGCCAGCAAACATGGCAACTTGAGCATCACTGTCGTACTTAGCAATCTCAATACGCTCGCTGATGAACTGTTATAGGCATGTTTAAAACGTTACCAGGATTGTTCATTGCTACAGTAATCGATTATGTAAACACAAACTTGTTTACAATAAGATTACATTAATTACAATTGTCAATAACATGTAAAGTATAAACAGAACATTATTTTCAATATAACTAGAGCCAAGCATGATTACTTATATTTATACATTCACTCCACCCCATATTTATAAATGGTTAAGTTGACATAAGGACATGTTAAAAAAATATGTGATTATGTGATATGAAGAATGGTTGGTAGATAATTTTCAAAAGCAGACACTAGGAAAGAACTATATAGCAGGAATGGCTGGTAAGAGTGGAAGATGAAAGGGTAGGTGGCTGAAAGCTAACCATTTACTGTAGTTATCTGGTCAGAAAGACAAGTAACAAGATGATGAGTTGACAATAGATGAATGATACAAAAGATGGGTGACTGGGTAACAATATGAATGAATGGATGACAAGAAAAAGAACCACAAGGCAAAAGGTTGGATAGCTGGCAGCAAAATAGGTTACCATTTTCTAACCTATTTTCTCCAATCTGGTGGATTGGCTGAAGGGAAATTAAGTTCTCCATATGTAGGTTGCACAGAGATAAATTTTAATAAAACAGAATTTAACCACACACACACACACACACACGCACGGACAGACAGTATGGTTTTCAAATAGGAAGATCCTGTGTAACAATTCTATTAATTTTCATGATAGAAAAACAGAGATACTACAGGAAAGAAGTGGTTGGGTTGACTGTGTCTATCTGGACCTAAAAAAGGCTTTGACAACCCATAAAAGGTTGTTCTGGAAACTAGAACATGCTGGAGGGGTGACTGAGAGACTTCTGATATGGATGAAAAATTTTCTAACTGACAGACAGATGAGGGCACATAATCAGAGACAATGTATCTCACTGGAAGTGTATTACTAGCGGAGTACCACAGGGTTCGGTTCTTGCACCAGTAATGTTCATCGTCTTCATTAAAGATCCACCAGAAGGAATACAGAATTATACGAACATGTTTGTGGATAATACTAAGATAATGGGGAAGATAAGAGAGAGAGATGATTAAAATGCCCTTCAAACTGATCTAGATAAAATAAGTGCTTGGAGCGTCAAGTAGCAAATATAATTCAATGTAAATAAATGACAAATTATGGGATGTGGAATTGGAGAAAATAGACCACACACAACTTATAAAATATGTGGAAAGGAATTACATAACTCTAATAAGGAATAATCTGTGAGAAGCGTATATGTTGCTTTCCAACTTCAGACTTGCTTTTAATTATTACTACATGGATGGTGAAATAGTAAAGAAACTGTTCATGACTTGAGAGACCAAAATTGGAATATGCAGCAGTTGTATGGTGCCCATATCTCAAAAAGCACATAAATAAACTGGAAAAGGTGCAACAGCATGTTGCAAAATTACTTCCGAACTGAAAAACAAGAGTTATGAGGAGAGACTAGAGGCGTTAAACATGCCAAAGATAGATGATAGAAGAAAAAGAAGTTATGATCAAATACTAACAAGAATCAATCAAGCTGATAAAAGTGGATTTTTTTAGTAGAATTCTTGAAACCAGCAACTTCTCAAACAAGAGGACACAGATTCAAGCTAAAGAAACAAAGGTGCTCCAAAAAAATTAGAAAGTTTTCTTTTGTAAACAGAGTGGTAGATGGTTGGAACAAGCTAAGTGAGAAGGTGGAGGCCAAAACCGTCAGTAGTTTCAAACAGTTACATGACAAAGAGAACTGGGAAGACGGGACACCACGAGTGTGGCTCTCATCCTGTAACTACACTTAGGTAATTGCACTGTAATTAGTTAATCCACTTCCATATACAGATGTAAAGATTTAAAGGTTAAAAGTAAACAGAAATTTACTCTTACACAATTTTAAATATATACTAACCATGTTTGGTTCTCAAGCTACATCATTTATTTTCCTTATATGTGAATGGCACTACAAACAAAAATATACATTATACTGTTATTACTAATAAACTATTAAACATACATAATTTCTTTGCTGAATTAAGCCTTTTCCAAACTGAGCAAAGCAAATGATAATGCTAACTTTCATCATTTTACAAGATGAAATTTAGTTTTAGTATAGAGTATTATACAATGAAATTTACATTTTTGCAAAATAGTTTCCCTTAATTTTTCTCATTATGGACTAAGCTCCACAAAATACAGTTACCCACCCATATTACAATGGTTGGAATGAGATATTTTGAAGTCAACTTATTCCCATCTAGCTAGATATTTATGGACCAGTTGGGCTTTTATTGCATCCCCCATAAGAAGTCAAACTGCTAATAAGAGAATTATTAGTAGAGATTCAGCCTGGGAGATCCCAAGTTCCTACTTCTGGAATAATCATTTCCATCATATAAATATAGTAAGAGTGCAGATTATGATTTGCCCCATATTTTAATTTGCTAAAATTATCTTGATTAATATATTATTGTAGATTATTTTGCTTTGGATTTTCATTTTAATCTATTGATTATTTGTGTCTGACACTTTTACATGATTCTTCATATATCCTGTACTTGCACACTATTGTCTCAGTTACTATTCGTTCTTCTTTTGTATACGATCACACTAAAGTTAATCTAGTATAGGTCTACCATTAAAATGTATCCATATGTTAAGATTTCAAAGACTTACCTTGATCCATATGTCATGGGGGCCAACCTCTGGGGCATGTGGTTTTAATTCACAGCCTTCATACGCTGCAAGAGGGTTTACTACTTCTGACTGCCTTGAGAATAGACCTAATCGTCGATCCACACTATCCTGCATAGAAATAATAAACATCAATATATGTCAACTAAAGAACACTGAATTTAAAAATTATATATACTTTCATACTGGTGTATCTTGTCAATCATCAACACAGCAAGATCATTTGATCACATAGCCAGCAGAGGATGACTTAGTATGAAGGATAATTTACACAACTAGCGGATCAGCAGTGCTGGATTAACTCATGAATTTGCTAATAAATTTTTTATAGAATGTTGCTTGTAAGATGGCTGATCTGTTGGACAACTGTACCTTACGTAACAGGACCACCTATATAAAATTAATTTATGTTTAATAATCAAAAGCAAGTACTCAAGTTTGTTGATTTATTTATGTGTAAATCTGGTGGTTTACATAAACCTTAGAATACAAATTTTATACTGTAGTTAACCCTTAAAGTGCAAGTATCATCATATATTGATCTTCAGGGGTAATACAATTATCACTGATTTTAATTATCATCTGGTTTTTATACACATGATGTAAATATAGATATAATACATCTTTAGGATGCAATTTAGTTAGCCTAGACCCATTTAAATGAGAAAATCGTTAGGAGCTGTGATAGGGATTCAAGCCTATGCTGTGGATTGTCCCCCACACATGCCCCAAACAATCAGGCTACGGCATTCTAAACAGAGACTTCATTTTACCATGTCATGGTAAAAGGAAGCCGTCGTGTGCTCTGGGTTGCCTTTACACCTCTAACCTCTCTTCATAACTCTTGTTTTTCAGTTCCGGAAACCATTTAGTAGTAGCATGACTGCACCTTTTCTAGTTGATGTGCTTCTTGCGATCAGTGCACTATACACCTGCTGCATATTTAAATTTTGGTCTCACATAAGTCATGTAATCCATGTTATTAAAAGCTATTCATTAGTTGAAAAGCGATGCATATGCTGCCACACAATATTTTTTATGTATTCTTCTGGTGACAGTCTACTCTTCAAAATCACTCTTAGATCTTGTTCTTTATTAGAGTTCTTTAATTCCTTTCCACATAATTTGTAAGTGTGTGTGTATTATTACTGTATATTAATATTATTATTATTATTATTATTAATATTATTACAGTGATACCTTAGTTTTTGAATTTATTCCATTCCCAGAGACAGGTCGTTTGCCAAAAATTCGCAACCCGAAACAAATTTTCCCACAAGAAACAATGTAAATTGAATTAATCCGTTCCACACTTCCAAAAATATTAACTTCAAAATACATTTCATATTTTACCAAGCATCGGCTCGAATTCCCATCAAACACAAATATTTTATACTATTGTATGTACAAGTTATATCTTACCTTTATTGATGACTCATGTTGACATATGGAACACGGTGAGGAGGGAAGAGGAGGAGACGTGTTAGTGTTTGGAAGGAGAGTCCCCTTCCATTATAACAACAGGCAGTGGGGTACTCTGGGGTACTCTCCTATATTTTGCCTGCATACCACTAGGACCTGGTTGTGGTTCACTGCTTGTTTGTCTTGCCAAGAACCTTCCCATACAGACTTTTTTTCTCTACATTTTAACACTTCTAAAAGTAAACACTTGCGAGGTAAAGGTTGTAACCCGATTTGAATTTTCTGAAGAAATTGAGTTCGTAACCCAAAAAATTTATAATGAGTGACATTCGCTACCCGAGGTTCCACTTCATTATTATATGTACATATACCTGGTATATATAATGTAGATAGATAAATACAAACAAACAAACAAACCTGCCAAGCAGAGATCATCTCTTGCATGAAAGGTAATGTCAGATCGTGACGAGCTGATAATATCCACTGCCAACATGCTGCACTATTTTCCACTGCATCCTCCGTGAAAAGGTTCAGACATGATGTGCACACACAACGCAACAGTCCACGATGAATACCTGTGCAATTAATACAATTATAAAAATAATAATAATGATTATATTATTATAATTATTAATTAAATAAGGTTAATACACTTAATACTCGATATACAAATACAAAACTAACAATTAATTGTAATACAATCTAAAGTTGAACACCATATTATAGTCTATTCACTTATACCTGTGCAAACACGTGAAGGAAGTTCATTAATAAAAATTTAATTATAACACAGCACTTAATGTAATGAAATGCCCCCTTCCTGGTAGAGCCTCAGTGGCTCCCTGAAGCTATCTCTATCTGAAGCTATCTGCTTGGCCTACCGAGATCAGACCTAAAACCTGGTTCCTTCATAGAGGCACAGAGAACATGTGACATTCCACCACCCCACCTGGAAAGCATCCAAAAAGACAGCAAAGCATTTTAGACAACTACAAGGTTCACAGAAAAAGAAGCCTAACAACACCCAAACAATTCAAAACAGTAATCAAAACTAGCTCAAACCTGTTCGTACTGATAAACACCATTAGGTGGCCCCTTCTCCCGCCTCCAACCCTCCCAAGTTAGTTCTGAAGCAGATGAATGAAACACCAACAATCTGACACAAATGCTAGGGGCTAACTTCCCAAAACATAAGAAGTTACAGTCAATGCAGGGGCAATGCTAAATTAGGGCAATCCTTAGAAAAGGACTGCCCTAAAATGCATCTCATAGTGCAGATTAAAATAAGTCCACTCAAGAAGTGAGGCTTGTAAAACAACTTGTGAAGCAGTATTCAAGAATATGAATGAAGTACAAACAAATGGCCCCCCACAGGACAGAGTCCAAAGGATGGTCAACTCTTCTCTTGGAAAAGAAGTGGGACTTGTTACAATGAGATAACTCAAGAATGTTAGATAGGTCTAGCATTGTTGGCAGGAATGGCCAATGCCAAGGCAGAAAGCCTGTAGCTCCCATGATGCCACCTGTTGGCAACTTTGTGCACTAGGGGGGAAGGGGAGTTATGCTAAGCTTCAAATGAACCATCTCAATTTGAGCAAATAATTTACAGTTTTATCTGTTTTTGTTTATCATTTTTGTGAAACATGCAGCTGTTTCACCTACTTTCTGGATGCTTTCTCAGAGTGGATAATCAGAACAATCCCCCAACTTTCTGTACCTCTATTAGAAGGGGAAGGGGGGTGTCAAGGTTTTGTCTCTGGTCCAGAGTCAACAGGACACCAATGACCGATTCAGCTTCATGAAACCACCTAGAGGCTCTTCCAGAAAAGATTAAATATACATGACTTTTGGCATTGTGTTGAGCCTTTTTAATATTAATCAAATCACTTAAAAAAGGTAAAATTATATTTTTCACAAATAAAAATAAAAAATGTATTGTTTTAATTCCAATTATCATCATTAAATACAGTATACCTTAACATTGAGTCTAGCATTTCAATCACTGGATAACTGATATCCATAAACACTCAAGTACTCTGACCTTTGGTTGCAATCAGCAAACCAGTTGCTCTCCATAGCCCTTGTCTGAACTCTACCTCACTCTTATTGTCACTTGCAGTCTTAATATCTCCCAACAGCTTGAATACCAGTTTATCTCGCTGAACGTCATCCGTTGCCATGAGCAGCAGCCCAGATATTTCACCTTGATAATGAGTTCTCAGGCTCAGAGACTTCATAAATGATGATGTCAGATCACTCATTCCCTTATATCGCTTGTCAAGAGTTGATGACTGAAATAAATAAAAGCACCATTATAATTCAGCAAGAATTATAATGTAAATATTGTGATGCTCAACAGGTCATACATAAAAAAATATGTATAGTACATCAACAGAGTTGCTAAATACAAAGTTAAAGTATTTTTCTAAATACAGAAAAGAGAAGCAGCCATACAAAATAGGTCTTAAAAACCTGGAATCTAATGTCATATAATTCACAGGTGAGTAAACATGTCCCATTTATACAGAACATTTGCCTGTCTATAGCCCAGGCTCCTTGCTCCTGCCTGAGAGCTCTCCAGTAGTGAGTGGCCACAATGGAAGTTTCTGCAAGAGTCTATCATCATACAAACCTTTCACTCTGTAAAAACTCTCTGACCTCTTCCATCATCCTTTCTTTCAAATACTGTTCCACTCTTCCTTTCCATAATACTGGCCTTCTGTCTCTGATTTTTCCCATATTTCACCCTTGTACACCCTTCTCATTAAAGAATTTTCAGGTATTCTGTTAATATATCCATAAGAGTTGTTAATTGTTCTTCACCTACTCCTCATCTCCAAATTTCATTCCTTTATCCTTTTTTTTTTTTTACGCAGGTGGGTAAAGGAACAGATGACTGCTCACTCCTGTTAGCAGGCTGAGAGCTTTCCCTTCCCATAGTTCATAGTAAGCCTCACCCACTGGATTCCCTGGAGTACAACCCGCAATCGTCTAACAACCTGGTACCCAATCACTGCTGGGTGAACAAAGGTGTGCAGTTAAGGATTTGCACTAGTCAATCCTTCCCAGCTATATCTCTCATACTTTCCCATTGCTATACTATCTTACATATACCAGACACATTCCTCATATACATTTCTACTACTGTACTTGCAATCTTTCTTGAGCCCTCTTCCCCTTTCCATACGCAAATTTTACTTCCCCCGTGTCACTTCCCTACAAAACTTGTCGATTCTAGCCCCAAGCATCTGGCTTCCAACTCTGGACAAACATTCTCCCTTATACATACGGATTGAACAACCCTGAAAGCATTGCACAACCCTGATACACTTTTATTCCACCAAGTTAGTACATGTTCATTACTCTTCAGAGATTTTTCTCTTCACTATCATATTTTTTCTGAAAAAGCCCTTAAACATTTAGAACTAATAGGTATGTGTAAAACATTAACAAAATTGTTAACATTAACAATCTAATAATACATGCCAATCCTTTAAATATAAAAGGGATTACACACACCATTCTCCAGAATGTTATACTGTAGAAACTTCATATTTCTACCTTAACAATAATTAAACCATGTATGTAGCAAAATATCTTTCAAAGTTCTGAAAAACAATATACAGTTCAAGGTAATTACATGGCTGGTTGAAGTAGAATTTCCCAAGCCAGCATACTGTAAGACAGACTCGGTGGCTAATGTTAGACCCGAGTGTGATGACAGATTGTTCTGGTCAAGGTGTGTTTGGTAATTTTGAAGATGTGATCGGGTAGCCTCAGGAGCCCATTTCATGGCCTCTTGCAGAATCCCCTGACAACGTGCAGCGAAGTCACTCACTGTACGCTAGAATAAATAAAATAAACAAGACGAGTAAGAAGGATGTAGAGTTCAGAGCAAAATGTACTGAAATGCTGTGATCAAGTTAGAGAAAATGAAAACAAAGATTATTTGACAAAGTGTTAAAGATGGTAACAGATTCTGATTATCAAAAATAGATAATAAAAATAATAAAGATAATTTATATAATGTATTCTTTACTTCAACTACTTATTGCAAACCAATAGATTGATTTGTTCAATTTCTTTAGTGCCATAATAACAAGGTCAGTGGCACTGTATATCTGCAAAATTCATATAACCCTTCAGATAGGTACACAAATCTGTGCTCAGTTTGAAAAGAAGTGCCAAACTTGTGTGGACAAGGTCCTGTGACCTAACAAGGCTTATTCCTAAAGAATTCAAGTCTGTATCCTATTCTTTTAAAAGAACACTGGGTGGAACTGAAAGAATCCAATATAGATTCAGTCCTACAACAAAGCTCAAATGTAATTAAGCTAGTAGTATGAGTGACTTCAGTTGCATATATTGGCAATACTGTATGAGAGGTTATGGAGAGCCGCCTGTGTATAACGGTACTTCCTTAGACAGTACTCGCATTCCACCACTATTTGGTGGTCTTTCACATTTTGTTTACAAATACATTACCTTATATGTGCAGAACTTTACCAGGTTTGTTATTCTTACTTGCACCTTTCTTGCTGTTTTCTTGTGCTTTCCTACTTTCAAGTCCTTGCAGAAGCAAACCTCATTCTTTCCACATTACTTCATTAAATGGGAAAACTATTATATGAATATCTTTGACAGGAGTTTAAATGAATTCTTCAAATCTCTTAAGATTTAAAGGCAATTGAAATTATCCTGAGAATATTCAACAGTATATAAGGCCACTACTCTTAAAATTAAAGGAATTTTAAATATATATATTGACATAATAAATTAACTCATTGGCAGTCGGGCTTCTCCACATGTTCCCGACCGTAAACGTTCCTGCTCCCTGAGCCACTCACTGGCTGCTCAGCAGTGAGAAAATTGTTCACTATCATTTTACATTTCCTCAGTTATTTGTTGCGTTATAACTATAAATTTGGTGTCAAAATGTTGACAAATGAATTCTAGTGAATATAAGTAAAAACTAAAGTTTATTCACAATAGTTTATGTGCAATAGTGATAAATATATGAATGTTTATGAATAACAAACAAATTAATGTCCTTAGAATGATTACTGTCAGAGTATGGATGATGCATTTTAGCTTCATCAGAAAGTAAACAATTTGAATGAAAATGTTCACAATGCTAAAGTATGACTTTACAATTACTGTACTCCCTTTCATTTACAAGAAGCAGGAACATTTGAGCAACAAAATGTACTAGGTATTACTGTACCAAGTCATTATAGTTTCCTATATTCAGGGACAGCATACTTGTTTAGGCTTATTGAAATCCTCCTCAGGTCAGCTATTGGCCTCCTCCACCAAGATTCAATCCACAACAGTTGCCTAATTTCCAGTTAACTGTTTACTGCTAGGGAACAGTGCATCAGGTTAAAGGAAACGGTAACCAAACATTGCTGCCCTACTGCGGGAATCAAATCTGGGACCTTTCAGTAGTGACCCAACTGCATTGACCTCTGTGCTATGCAACGTGTATATGCCTTTTGTGAACAGTAAACATATGAATAAGTGCATCTTCCATTATGATGTATCTAAACAAAAGATTGTATCAAGAAGCTCCTTGTATCAAAACTCACTTCTCTGGCTTCCAAAGTGTCCATGAGGGTAATGCTGAAGGGAGTGTCAGGAATGGGAATGGTTGGGTTGGCATCATTGGGGTCCAGTTGCAATGAATAGCCTAAAACTTGCAAAATATCAAGCAGTGTTCGTAACACATTTCCATTCCACAACAGGAGGGGAAATCTGTGAAGATCAAACAGAGGATTTACTTCTACACCTAAAAAAATAATTACCTCATAATAAACCATCAAAAGAATACTTACATTAGGAAAAAAGTTTTGTGTAAAAAATTTGCAGAAATTTTCAGAATGATGTTTTAAGTGCATTTAAAGCAAAACAAAAATTTAAAACAATAATGAAACATAAGAAAACACAGGATACAAGTTACCAAGAAAAATACAGCTGTTCATTTTTTTTTTTAATTGTGACAATCTGTTAGTTAATAGGCTTTATGTTAGCCTTTGTTCACTTAGGATTATTATATCAATATTATTAAATGAATTACTGTACAGCCTTTCTTACCTATCAACAAGCTTGGAAAGCAGCTTGTCAGCCACTCGTCGAATCTGCACTTGAGTGTGATTAAAATGTGTCAGCAGAAACTGTGCATGTAACACTAGTAGCTTCTCCTGACGCTCGTCTCGTGGACGGTGACTCACCTGCTCCAAGAATATGTTGAACACCTTCTCACTCACTCTGTAGAATTATATTACATCACTAATATGAACTTTTATGAAAACTAGTTTTATTACTGATACACGGTATGTAAAATGAGAGTTGACAACACTCAAATAAAAACTGAAAACAGGAAATGCTGATCTTAAATCTGTATAAAAACATATATTTTGTGTAATATCAAATTCAAAAGTTAAAAAAATGTTTACAAGTTTTTTATCTTCTAAAAATTATCTGATGCACCTGAGGTTGAGAGAATGTAGAAATTAAAGAGACACATATTACTAATATATGACAAATATCCATTATATGAATATTGTACCGTTTTACAAATGATCACACGAGGAAGATCAAGAAATTTATCTTTGGATAGGAACAAGATTATTTTGTAGTGGTACCTGGAATTAACCAAGAGGCCACCAACCTCCTGGTTGATTCCAGGTTTCTTAGCTAATCTGATTGCTCCTCTAGCTGTTGATGCCTGTAGATATTAGGCATAAGCATAGCAGCCCAGTTAACCAAGTACCCTTTGGAGGTAATTATCAGGTTTTGACATGAACACAATTAGAGGTCTGCAAGTAATTCCCCTTGTATTTAGAGGGAAGGTGATGAAAAACCTCAAGTCTCCTATGTATACAGAATTGTCTTGCTGCTCCATTCCAATCCTATTTTTCAATGTGTTATTTTGTACATTATTCTGTACCACTTGGCTTTATGAGGAATTATTTTGGTGAGCAAACTTGGAACAGAGCACTGAATTGTTATCGGTAAGTAATTTCTTCCATCTGAATTGATGTCTTCGCTTATGTTATTATCTTGCAAATGATATATTTTATGTCTTTCCAGAGAAGCCAAAGCACAGAATCATTTTCACAATCAAGCAGTAAACAACTTTGATTCGACAGCATTTCTTTTCACCTCATCCCTCTGTTCACCAAGCTAAATAGGTATAAGGGATTTAAGACAGTTTCTATGGGCTGTATCCTGGAGATGGTCTTTAGTTAGATATAAACACACAGACACACAAATTAGAAAAGGTGGAGGCATTGTCATGCTGGAGGAAGAACAACTAAAGGTAAAATGATTAACAATCAACAACCCAGGATAAGTTGACACAATGGCACTAGTGATTTATAATCAGGATGATAAACATATAATAATAAATGCCTACAATCCACCTGCAAACAACACAAGGATAAAACATTATGTCACATGGATAAGCCTCACCTGTTAATACAAGTCCACATGTCATACTTGTCATTCTGAATAGCTGGGTCAAGTAAATACTCAAACATTGGCTGAAAATTTGTTTCTGGAGAACTTCTAACCCTGAAAAATCATAAAATATTTTTAGAAATTTTGATTCATATTTTCCTAAATTGGATTTCTATGACAAAAGTAGTACTACTGTTATTTTTTTTCTTATACCAAGGTATTAAATTTTGTAACAAATACAAATATCAGTGATAGGTATCTTGGCAAAGATAAGATATCTTGGCTACATAGCATATATGTTATGAATGAAAACGTTAAAAACTATTCATATCTTTCAAACGTTATCTTTATAATTAGTAAACTACTCAGTCCATTTTTTGTAATTATATATACTGTACATAAATTTGGTTATTCAACACAAATACCGTAGTGAAGAAACAATCATAGAAATATCAAAGGCCAACACTGGAGACCTCTACTACATGGCATTATGTCAGCAAGATGAGAGGCGAGGCACTGACAGATCTGGCTGCCACACCACCCTCCAACCTTTACAGCTCACCTAACCAGTAAATGTGTGTATATTTGCTTTATTTCAACTTTTCCTTACATTTTGCATTAACATTAATCATTCTATAAGGAAAAATATTTAATTTATTAAATTTTCGTGCATGGGTGGACATACATGTAAATCCATAGCCGCACTCCAGGGGTTAAGGCTTTTCCTTCTCATAGTTCAACTTAAGCTCTAACCCTACTAATTTTACCTGCAACACAACCTGCCAATTATTAACAACCAAATCCCCAATTACTGCTGGATAAATAGGGGGCTAACAGTTAAGGACTGGTGCTCAGTTGACCTTTTTTGCTCAGGGCCCAAAAACCAGAGTGAAATCACTATCAAGAATTCTTCCAGAAGCTGTGCTGCATAAAACTCCTTAGTAGGCAAACAACAGATAATATTCACCAAGCATCACAAGGCCTCGAATGAACTGCAATAAATGCATGTGGTAAAAGTGAAATCTAGACATAGAGCAGCCTAGTCCAAACACTATAGGTCAAGACAAGTGTATATAAAGTTTGCACTGAATTCTGCACCATGCACTGAAATGAACACTTAAAAATGTGGGTCAAGTTTTAGCAACACAGTATTTCATTTGCATCTCAGCTAGCTCTCTATTCCTTAAATATAGATGTAAGAATGTAAATCTAAATAAAATTCACAAATTGCTGTATGGTTCCCAGTTAAAAAAAAAAAATTTAATTTTTGGGCAATTTAATTTGCCAATATTTTAGCAACAATTTTGAAGCATTGTACCAACCTGAGGGCTTCTACACGATACACAGAAAGAACATAAATACACTGAGCAAAAGACAATTTGTTAACAATCTGCGTAACATCAGCTGGGTGCTCAAGCAGACTAAGAATCTGTTGTCGTAGCTCATTTAGTTCACTCTGCAAAAAGAAACAGTTTAATTACTATCAATCCACAATAGAAGTACAGGGGGCACATAACATAAGGGCAAGTTTATTCATCCTCTTGAACATATATACAATCATGTGTGTAAATGTGTAACACGTGTGGAAATAAAATTTTAGAAAATTATTTTACATTTTAGCTTGCTAACACTGTCTAAACTCTGAAAATTTGTTCATTTATTTTTCAGTCTACAGTTGCACACCCTCACTACTCTCCAAAAATTTTGGTTTGACTGCCATTTAGATTTGTCATCCTAAAATTGAACACCTTCCTTCTAAAGAACAGGCCAGATATAACTACTAAATTTTCTCTCCAAACTTTGGATTTGTCAATAAAAAGTCAGAATGCGAGGAGGAGGCTTCTGCAAAATCCTAATAATTTTAGGATTTAGCTAGCCAGTGATAAATTTTAGGCACTGTCTAGCTAAATCCAGTTTGTAATTACCTGTGGATGTTCTCTATTGCAGCCCAAACTGGGGCAACCTGGTGGAGGATGGCGGGTAAAGGATCACCTGTATTTAGCTAGGCTTTGTTTGGCAGTTCCTATGATACCAAGTAGTGTCTGGAAAGCCTTTAAATTTTATGTAAATACACCTTCTAGCTGCCTTCTGGGTTAGACCAAGTATTTTTTGTTATCTCCTAAACAACAGTATAACCTGGCAGGAATAGTCTAAAAAGTTCCCCACAACACAAGTATAGAATGTTTACCTGTCCCAACTGCACTAGATCCTATCCAGGGATCAATGCAATGTTGCCTTAGGGAGCAACTGAGTGGAATAGCTCAGAAATTATATATCACTAAGTTGTCAGCATTTTCTAGTGAAGAATTTGTAATGCTGTACTGAAAGAAAGAAGTAGAATAATACCAAGTATTATTCTACTTTATTCATGAGTGAGGACCTTCGGACAAAACTTCAAAGCTGTACGTTGTTACTCACAACTGAAACGGAATCATCCCGCACTGCATAGGTATATTTGAGTTCTTTCATCTCTGAACGGTGTTTGGTGTGGGACAGCAACAGAGGAGATGTAACTGCTATGTCACAGACAGCCATATGCCAATCTGCAGGCCACAAACCTGCAGAAGGGTACATTTTATTACACATGATTACTTATTTATCAGCTTTGCTCCATTACTTTTTTACAAAAGAAATGAGCAAATTAAAACAAATTTAATATACATTACTAAATAATTCATTAACCATTGCACTGCACATAGCACTTTAAGACACTTTTAGGTACAGGGAAAGATTCAAAACTTCTGTGGGTACACAGGGCTCACATCTTGTGCCTCAGGACTCCAGTAAACAGATGCCATCTTGAATAAAAAAAAATCTGCATCCATACTGGCTGTGAGAGTCTCGGTACCGAATGAGCGACCTAGGCTGGCGCATGCAACAGTAGCTCACAGCACCTCTGTGAAGCTATGAAGCTATGGGCAGTGTGGTACTTTTAACTGTGGTGCATTTAACAAGCCACTAAACAAGAATCTCCCGAAAAAAAACTTCAGCTGTTTCAAACCCCCCCTGATGGGAAGCTCATGAAAGGAAGTAAGGTTTTTGAGTTATTGATAGATAAGGTTGGTTCTAAAAGTGTTAGCTGGCTGAGAAAGTAAATAAGCAATAAGCATTAGGAATTTTGCAAGGCATTTATTCTGGGAATACTGAATATATCTTTGTAATGGAAATAACATTACATACCAGATTCCTGTTGTGTGAAGCCCATGACAATGCAGAATAACCAAAAGTCACGGAATAACTTCAGTAGACGGGGTTTGGGTTCTTTGATAGGAGGAAGACGTCGCACTAGTACTGCAATGACGGGAATCAACACGCCAAGATTTCCTGCACTGCTCGATGCCTGAAATTTTGTTACATTAAATCATACTGATGTTTTAAGAGATTGTATGTTTCAGTATGACTTTAAACACCATGCAATTTTCATTAATTCAATATGAACAACTGACAGTATTGTATTATAGTCCAAAATTATATACAGAACTAAAATATATTAGTAACTATTTTTAATAGTAGGGCAGTAACAAATGTTGTACCAGTAGTTATCTTTTGAAGGGAATGAAATAAAATATATAAACAAATAACAATAGGGATTAACAATTCCATAATCTTGAACACATGATATAAGGGAAACATGACTGTTCCAAATACACTCCTTTAGTACTGCTAGTAAAGAAACAAAGTATGGACATATATAAACTATACATACAAACATTATGTATGGTAATATTTTGGCTTTGACTAACCTTTAAGAAATACAGTGCAATATTGTGTAGTAATAGCTAATTACCCACTAAACCAGAGAATAAGATAGTAGCATTTTCATTATTTCTATTCTGATATTATTGCTACATGGACATTTTGTTCTGAATAGCTAAATCTAAATCTATTCTGATATTAGTTTAATTTTTGTTTATACTTAATTACCTTTATTATGAGGTTACATGACAGTAACAGCTTCAGGTATCTAAAACTATACAGTACAGTGGTACCTCGGAATGCGATTGTCCCTGTATGCGAGGTTTTCGGAAGGCGAGCAGTATTTACTCCAAAAATTTGTCTCAGAAGGCGAGGGTTACTTCGGGACGCGAGTTTGTTGATACGCGTACAGGCCGACCTAGCGCGTGGTGGTTTGGCGATCGTCGCCCCTCCGCCCCTCAGTTTACCATTGTCTCGCGCTCAGTGACTACCCCCACATCAATTCTTCTCGCGGATTTTCAGTGTTTTGTTGGATTTTTGGTGATTTGTCTATACAATTTGTTATTATATATCTCACCATGGGTCCCAAGAAAGTCAGTGGTAAGGATAAAGGCCAGAAAGCTCATGTGAGGATGACAATAGAGGAGAAACAAGAGATCATTCGGAAGCATGAGAACGGTACAATGTTGTTGAACTTTGTAGGTAGTACAACAAAGCCACATCAACAATATGCACTATACTTAAGAAGAAAAATAAGATTATGGGTGCTAAAGTGGCAAAAGGAGTAAGAACATTAACGGCACAAAGACCACAAATACTTGAAGAAGTGGAAAAGTTGTTATTAATTTGGATACACGACAAGGAGTTGAGGGGTGATAGTGTTTCGGAGGCCATTATTTGTGAGAAAGCCAGGGTGTTGCATGAAGACCTTCTAAAGAATACCCCTGCAACGAGTGATGCAGATAAGAAAGAGTTTAAGGCAAGCAGGGGCTGGTTTGAAAAATTTAGAAAGAGAAGTGGTATCCATAGTGTTACAAGGCATGGGGTTATGTGATGTGATTATGGAAGGGGACTCCCCTTCCAAACAGTAACTCCTCTCCTCCTCCCCCCTCCTCACCATCTTCCATACGCCTACAGCACTCGACAGCAAGGTAAGTAATAACTGGAACACAGTTTTGTAGGTTTATTTAGATGAATTAGGTAAATTAGGTATAAAAATTTAGTTTGATGTGGGGTTTTTGGGGTAGTCAGGAACGGATTAATTCATTTCCCTTTATTTCTTATGGGGAAATTAACTTCGGAATGCGAGTTTTCGGAAGGCGAGGCGTCTCCAGGAACGGATTAAACTCTTATTCTGAGGTATGCCTGTATTTGGTTTTAGATACAGCTATTGTATCTAAAACCAAAGAAACATACTTTATTACATATACTTCTACTGGGACCCCATGAAAGTTTAGCCATATAATGGAGCCTGTTCTCCCATTTCTCCCCTCGGTAACAAAATGTCGTGGTTTAGCCTACCTAAACGCATCAGAACCATGGCTTTCCATCTAACCTACCAGAGCCAATAATTATTAAGCCCATAAAGCTTCAATGTTGCCGTTTTTAATTTCCCTAAACCACAGTACTGTAATTTTTACACCAGAATTGATTTTCTATAAAATGTTGTGCACTCAGAAAGAGGTCAGAGTATATAATGTAATTTCTCTATATAATAACCTTTAAAGGGTACAGTATTCTGTTGTATAATATGTGAATAATTTTTCCACATGCTTCGCTCTTCTAGTATGAAAAATACTTCTGGTGTGAGATTTAAACACTAAGCATGTTCCAATCATGCAATATTTACATAACATGAGCATTACAAAACGACTCAATTATTCAAATAGTCACACCTTTAATACAGCTGGATGTTTCTCCGAGTTTTGTTTGGCTGCTAACCCAAGCTTTACAAAAAGTTCCAGTAGGCGCATCAGTAACTTATCCATCTCGGCTTCCCCTTGAATGTTAGCACATATATTTGCTAAGGCATTATGTACTGCAGTAGCTACGTGTCTGCAACAAACGAATAAAACAATTCTGGAAATATTTAACAATATGAGTGGCATGGTTATCATAGGTTGCAATAGGCAAACATACGTAACAGTTATATTTTGTATAAATGCAAACCCCATTTTTATTTCACATTCCCAAATATAAAATATAAAGAATTCTTTTTAACAAATGTAGCTCTAAGGCCAACATTAATATTACCATTGAATACAGATTGACTGGTCAATCAAAAGTGTGCTGCACAGATGTACAGAAACTTTACATCTTTTGAAAACTCCTATTATTACACCCTGCATACATGTGCAGAAGACAAAAAAAAAAGACTATTACAGGTATAAATAATTTATCCATAAGATCACAGTTAATAATTCAGAAAACTTTCAACAGCATTTACATTCACGAAACAAAGCTGCCAGAGAAATATAAGAAAATTCATTTTTGTAAACAGAGTGGTAGACGGTTGGAACAAGTTAGGTGAGAAGGTGGTGGCGGCCAAGACCGTCAGTAATTTCAAAACGCTATATGACAAAGAGTGCTGGGAAGACGCGACACCACGAGCGTAGCTCTCATCCTGTAACTACACTTAGGTAATTACATTAAAATTTATCTTTAAATAATTTACCATTAGGGTAAAAAATTAACTTCATTATCATAAAATTGAAACTTAAATAATTTGGTTCTGATAAAAGCTATCATCCATAAATAAATATGAAGTTCCCCTAACGTGCAATGGTCAACAGCACAAGTCTCACCTGTACTGTTTCATGCGTTGGTCTTGAGCAGCACCAATTCCATAAGTGCCACTGCTTGCCTCTATTATGATCTTGCTGAACTGTTCCATTATTTCATCATACACCTTGGGCTGAAATGTTTGGATGGAAAAAATATCAGCAATGGCATTTATGTATATTACAGTCAACAAAAATGCTTTATTTTAATAATATACTGTATTCCATAACTGCAAAAGTCACAACAAATTTAAACTATTTTAATTTTCTATATATGAAACAGTTAATACCAATAAATTTTAAAGTATAATGCTCACATCATTTTTTGCCAGAAGCATGCAGCCCAACTGGTCTACAATTAGTGTGTCAAGATTGGAAGGAGGACGACAGAAGCGCTGGAGTAGGCACTGATGGAGAATGGTCTCGGTGGTGCGATGCGAGTCTTTCAGTGCAACAGCCACATGGCCCAAAGCTACCACCACATTATGTGATATAACGATATTATCACTGAAACATTAAATATTGTTAGATAAGAGAAAGTAATGCTGCAAACAATGTTGCAAGGTAATGCACACAGCTGTCAAAATTCGCTTTAATTACAACAGCCTGATATTATCCAGAAATATTTGATAAATCTGCTGTAAGCCCTCTGTACAAGGCACAATAATGATGGAGTCAAACTTGGAAGTGTTATACACTGAAGAAGTTTAGTTTGTTTATTTGGTTTATAATTATTGTCACAAAAGTAATCTATGGCAATCAAGTTATATACAAAACAACCAGCATTGAATGTAATGAAACGCCATTTTCTGGGCGAGCCCCGGGAGGCTCTCTGGCGCTATCGGGCTGATATGTGGTATATTAGACAGGGGCATCAGTCAATGGAGTTCAGCCTACCTGAGGACCACGAGCCAGAACCTGATTCCCCTAAAAGAGGTAAAGGGAGCAATGGCCTATAGAAATCCCCATGTGGTTGGGGCATTCCATGTCTGCCATTGACTGGGGTTGGCACCGAGAAAAGTAGGCATAACAAAACAAACCCCACTTGGTAAGAAAAACCAAGTGAAACCAAAAACCGAACAGGGAGGCAAAACTCTCCCTACAACTTAAGAAAAAAAGCTAACAACTAAACGTCACACCTCACCGCCGCATCGCCTGTCCGTGCAGCTCCCCAAGCCATCCAGTTCAGAGGCTGAACATCAAAAGGAAACCGGAACCACCGACTGGAGGGAGGGAGGGTTACCAATGAGCCTCTGGAACTCAACCAGAAAATGGCATTTCATTGCATTGAACGTTGGTTTTCTGAGGGAGCCCCGTTGGCTCCCCAGAGCTAACTACCCAAAGACAAAGCTAAATATCTATTTGTATCACAATACAAATGGTGATAGACCCCGCATCAAAAGGACCAGATCCGAAGAGCGGAAGAGAAGACCGAACCAGCCAGGTACCCAACTGGACCGATCTGCTGAAAGAGGCAGAGCCGCGGAAAACATCCCAGATTCAGACACCGAGCAAGCAGTGCCTGAAACCAAGGCTGGGCTGGCCACCAAAGGGACAACAGGACTACTCTTCCCTGGTAAGTCTTCAACCAAGCCAGGATCCAAAGTAACAGCGGGACCAGGGGGCAAGAAGTACAGGTAACCCCACCTAAGCCAGTCTTGCTGAAAGGCGTCCACCGTGACAGTCGCAATCGGGGAAAGGCGCCACATATCAGAAGATGCCTAAACCATGCTGACGTGAAGAGGTCCACCTCCGGGCTCCCGAATGTCTGGCAAAGCTAACTGATGGCATCGACCATCCATTCCTTGAACACAGGAATGAACCGAGACAGGCCATCCGCCAGGACCTTGGACACTCCCTGGATATGAACCACAAGGAGACCCAAACTCCAAGTATCCAGCAGACAAGGCACTCAAAGCGACCAGCCCCAAAGAGCCAAGGACCGAAGAGAACCCCTGCGGTTCAAACAATGAACCACTGGAGAACAGTCTGAAATGGAGCTGGATCGTTGACAAGTGCCCCAGAGTGCTTCAGCCTACGAACTGAGGGACTTGCAAGCGGCGCAGCAGCAGTGGTTAATGTTTGCTTCTTTTCCTTGTTTTCTTTTGGGGAGTTTTGTTTCTCTGTTCAGTTTTGTGTTTTTTCCTACCATGTGGGGTTTGCTTTAAGATGCCTACCTTTCTGGGTGTCTAACCCCGGTCGACGGCAGACAGGGAATACCCCCCAAATAAAAGGGGGTTTCCCTACTGAACAATGTATTTGCATCAAAGCACCCCCAAAACCCATAAGAGCATATACTGTCACAATTAGCTGCCTAAAATTAATTGAAAGAACCCAAATAGTAAAAAACTGCAAATATATCTCAAGACTCCTAATTACAAATTACAATACTGTACTATTGTAGAAATGGAAAACGTAGCTCTATTTAAACAACAAAATAAGTTAGAAGACAGTACCCCTTAAGGAGGCCAATTTCTGTTATTGCCATTAGAAAGCCAAGAGTATTAGCTACATTTTGTGCTTTATTTGAAAGAACTTTGTGAACTCTAAGTAATTTTATTTCTGGAGGGGCCAAACAGTGGTGTAATGTGCTGCACTGAGACTGCTCCCCACATGAATCACATCAGCCCTTGGAGTCTTTAATTGCCTACCTGAGACCAGAAGCCCAAAACCTGGCCCATTCACAGAGGAACAGAGAGCAGTGGATCCTTATGATCACCCTCACTGAAGAAACATACAGAATGGAAGTGAAGTAAAATAAACAACTGCAAGGTTCACATAGAAAAACAAAGGAAGCAGCAAATTACTCAACAAATGATCCAGCCAGTAGTTAGAACAACCACCCCCCCTTCCCTAGTTACAGCTGGTCACTATCAAGTGGCAGCGTTACTGGGAGCTGCCGGCTTCACACGTCGACAATCCTCAGTCCAGAGTTTAAGGAAAACAAACCGACACACCTGGAGGGAGGGAAAAGGAGGGACCAGGGAGCCACAGAGACCCATCCAGAAAGATATGTTTCAACGATGGTTTTCTGCAGGCCGATGTGGCTCCCTGTAACTTACTACATATAGGAGTAAATTGGGACTTATCTGGGAGGAAGAGAACAAAGATCAAACCCCAATGAGGAGTGACCAGGACAGTAACTTCTACCAAAAACAGCCCAAAGTGAAATGGGGACCATAGACATTGACCAGGTAATAAGCAGGCAGGAGCCTAGTAGACTTCCAAAAGCCTCAAGCCCCGATATCAGCCCAAGACATATTAGAAAATACAGCAGTCAAAACTGCAATGCTGATACAGTGCCAAACTACTAAGTGCCACCAGTTGCAGAGTGGAGAGATTAAGCAAGAGATCAGCAGCAGATCGACCTTCTTTTAGGCCTACCATGAGCCATAACCTGATCCCCTCTAAAGAGGCACAGGGAGCAATGACACTATGATAAAATTGTCAGTTAATTTTAATCACATCCGTGACCATCATAGAAGCACCCACAAAGTCAGTGAATCGAAACAGACTACTGCAGATTATAAGGAAATATTGATGCCTCAAAATCGCCAAAAGAACTCTCCCCAACAATGTAAACAATCGATAATTCACGAAACTAGCGCAAGCTCGTTTACCCTGTCTTTTCACAAACTAGGGAAAAAGGTGGGAGGCAGACTGGGTCAGCCAACTGCTCCCTTCTGGCAAGTTTACTATCCAGGACAACTCAAGCTCTTTCCTGGCTCAGATTCTTTTAGAGGTTTTCTCTAAAAGAGTGCTGGATTTTAAAGCAAACAAAGAAATAATTATAACCTTAGTTTCAGCTAATACTAATGAGAGCCACAGAGCTACATGTACAAATGTAGGTAAAAAATAACATAAAAACACTGACCTTTCTGGCAAGCGATCATAGCCAGCTTTTTCTCTACTGGATATTGATGAAATAAATGCAAGCACAGTGTTTGCATCTACTGTCAGACCTGCCTTTAGTGCAACACACAAATTTTCAATTGCAGTATCCCTTAATCTTTCAAATGCTGTTGCCGAGGCTGACACTGGCCTGCTGCTCAAGTCACCAGTAACTAAGAAATTTCACAGCAAATTAATATTTTATATAATAAATGAATAAATGCAATACATAAAACCAGCATTGAATGTAATGAAACGCCATTTTCTGGGTGTGACCCGTCGGCTCCCCGGAGCTTACTATGCTGATATGATAATGTCAGATTTTGGCATCCGTCATGTGTATAGAGTTCTGTGGGCCTACCAGGGACCACGAGCCAGAACCTGGGCCCCCTCAGAGAGGCATGGGAAGCAATGGCCTATAGAAACCCCCGTGTGGTTGGAAGCATTCTATGTCTGCCATCGACTGGGTCTGGCATCCAGAAAGGTAAGCATCCCAAAACAAACCCATTATTCTGGTGAAAATATTGCTACCAAAAGCCGAAGAAGTGGATAGAACTTACCTAAATGAAACGAGCAAATGAGCATGACGTCTAGGGGTGCATTGTGTTTTGTGTCCCGGGTCGTCCTCCGTGTTATTGCAGCTAGCCAGCCTGTGTTCCTTCCCCGTGACGCTGGCTCTCATGGGTTCGCTGCTCTTGCTGCTGTCTTGGCGGCATGTCCTAGATGACATTTGGGTACTGGGCTTTTGGCGGTCGTACAGGGACTGGCTGCTCGATGTCTCGTGTCGTTCCCGGGCCCATTCGGGCCTGTGTCGCCTTGGGTTGGCGGTTGCAACCAGTTGTCTTGTCTTTGAGTTGGGGAGTGTGTGGTGACTGCCTCCCGGGTACGTCCCTCTCTTTTTCTTTGTGGGTAGTTAGCTCCAGGGAGCTGAAGGGGCTCCCCCCAGAAAACCAGCTTTGAATGTAATAACACCATTTTCTGGGTGAGACCCGGAGGCTCCCCGGCATCCCTCCCTCCCTCCGGTCGGCGGTTTTTCGCATTTTTGACATCCAGCTCAGAAGTGATGGTGGATAGCCGACACGGTAGGTCTGGGGCTCCCCCTTTTTCCTCCCGGGAAGGGGGGAGCTGTGCAGACAGTGGCGCGGTGACATGTGACATCATGATCGTTTGCTCGTTTCTTTTAGGGAAGTTCTATCCACTTGTTCGGCTTCTGGTAGCAATATTTTCACCAGAATAGGGGTTTGTTTTGGGATGCTTACCTTTCTAGATGCCAGACCCGGTTGATGGCAGACATAGAATGCTTCCAACCACACGGGGGGTTTCTATAGACCATTGCTCCCCATGCCTCTCGGAGGGGGCCAGGTTCTGGATCGTGGTCCCCAGTAGGCCCACAGGACTCCATACACATGACTGATGCCAAAGTTTGACATTAGCATATCAGCCTAGTAAGCTCCGGGGAGCCGACGGGGCTCCCCCCAGAAAACATATATTTCAAATATATATGAAAAATATTAACAAATTAAATTTACACATACAACAGGAAACTACAGGAATCTTAGCAGACATATGGAAAAAGGAAAACATAGTTCCAATATACAAAAATGGTAGCAGAGAAGACCCTCTTAATTATAGACCTGTATTGTTAACAAGCATTAGTTGTCAAAAGTGCAGTCCCCGTGGTGTAGTGGTAAGACACTCGCCTGGCGTTCCGCGAGCGCTATGTCATGGGTTCGTATCCTGGCCGGGGAGGATTTACTGGGCGCAATTCCTTAACTGTAGCCTCTGTTTAACGCAACAGTAAAATGTGTACTTGGATGAAAAAACGATTCTTCGCGGCAGGGGATCGTATTCCAGGGACCATAGGATTAAGGACTTGCCCGAAACGCTAGGCGTACTAATGGCTGTACAAGAATGTAACAACTCTTGTATATATCTCAAAAAAAAAAAAAAAAAAAAAAAAAAAGTTGGAAAAAATAATAAAAACCAAATGGGTAGAACACCTGGAGAGAAATGACATATCAGATAGAAAGTATGGTTTTGATCAGGAAGATCCTGTGTAAGAAATCTGCTTAGCTTCTATGATAGAGCCTCAGATATTTTATAAGAAAGAGATGGTTGGGTTAAATGCACTAATCTGTACCTAACAAAAAAATTACTTTCAAAAGAGTTCCACTTAAGAGGTTGTTCTGGAAACTTGAACCTACTGTTCAAGGTCTCTAGTGCTGAATGATGTCCACCAGAGATCCTTCAGGGATTTGAATATTACAGGGCACATTAAATCTCCCTAAGGTGATAGGTAAACTGGTTCTTATCACTTGAGAGCTACAGCAGCAGTTTAAAGGCTAACAAATGAGAGCAGAGGCTCACATCCCAAGGCACCAGTCACAGTTAAAGCCAATACTATAGAGCATGTGCAGACCACTGTAATGAGTTAAGGAGAATGGCAAACTACTGCAGGGAGGGAGTATGGCAGACCACTACAGGGAGGGAGTGTGGCAGACCACTGCAGGGAGGGAGTGTGGCAGACCACTGCAGGGAGGGAGTGTGGCAGACCACTGCAGGGAGGGAGTGTGGCAGACCACTGCAGGGAGGGAGTGTGGCAGACCACTGCAGGGAGGGAGTGTGGCAGACCACTGCAGGGAGGGAGTGTGGCAGACCACTGCAGGGAGGGAGTGTGGCAGACCACTGCAGGGAGTGAACAAAAAATACAAAAAACAATCAACAAAAATATGGAAATTTCACTGTATATTTGGTAAGTTTACCAACTTCATGTAAGCTGGTTTATCAATTTACCAGTAAATGAAAAAAGTTGGTAAACCAATTAATAATACGAGGTAAGTCAAATAAGTTTACCAACTTATTTTGCTATAAGTTGGTAAACAGCCTAAGAATTTTAAATAATTTTAATAAACACTTATATTATTAATATGACTCGGAAATTACTTTAAAACATTTTATTTACAGCAAGCTTAACTAAATTATTATATATAGTACATCCATAATGTAATGCCTCTTCAGAAATTAAACTAACCTTTCACAGTCAAGTTGCCCTGGTGTGGGGTCAGGAAGTCAGACTGCTGACGATGTAGCTTCAAGAGAATGGGTGATGGACTAACCAGGAAATCTTGAAGGTAATTAATGCATGTCCCAGCAATATTTGGAAACTTGCTGGCAAGTTTGCCTAAACCCTGTAAGAAAGTTTAAACACTGATTAAGCAATCAAAACTTTTCAAATGTAAAAATGCATTTTCAAACTTTCCTATCCAACGATTCCTAAAATTGCTTTGAATGTAAGGAAATGTCTATTTCTGGAGAATGCTTGGAGGCTCCCCATTGCCAGCAGCTTGGATAGCTTTACCAAATATGATTCCCACAAGACCCTTGCATGTCATGGATGGATGACACACCATCACAGAAACATCGGTCAGGTCATCCCAGGAAGACTTCTTTAAGGTCTTCCTTTGCCGTAACATGATGGGTACCAATGAATGTTGTAGAACATTCTAAATTAGATTTAATTTAGATTAACTAAATCTAATTAATTAGATTTAATTAATCCAGATTACCGAGCTCTTATGGTATTAACCCTTAGACAGCGCATATTAGGGGCCTAGTAGCGAAAAATATTTGAATTATGTAAAAAAAAACTTAAAATTGTTAAACAAATCTCCAATGTATTGGCTTCAGTGTCATGAAACTTTTATCAAAATATTTTCAGAAATGGATTTTAGACGAATTTTTGAAAAATAAGAACGTTTTGTTGATAAGGAGAACACTCCTAGTAACTGGAACTGAAGGATTATGCAGTACTAAAGAGATGCAAGCACCTGTCCAACACTCAAAGAAGAAGAACAATAGTAGTAAGAAGTGTCCACAGTGGATGTGCAGTTGGTGCCTTTATATCATTGCTGAGTAATACATAATAACACAAATAATAATGAATAACTATGTTAATATGATCTATTTTGTTATATATCATATAAATACATTGTCCAATGTTAATATATGTTACTTTCATCAATGCCCCAAAAATATTTGGGGGGGGGATTTTTTTTTTTAAGATTTTAGTTTTTCTCCATTGTTTATTATCTGATTTTGTTGTAACCTTTACATCCTGTAGAATGCATATGTTTCCATAAATATCTGAAGATAGAATAAAATTGGTCAACAAATAAATCAATCACAACTCGCAAAACTTGGTACAATCTTTTTTGGCTGATTTTTTCTCTGATTTCAAACTCTATTTTCTTTGTCTCTTTAGGTTGCTTTGATGATTAGGGACCATATTAGGGCTTTTTCACTTATATGAAGTATATCTTAAATATACCCCCTAAATCATAATAATTATAATTATCTCTATATTTTTCTTGACTCCATTTCAACACATATTGACCTACAACTTTCACATATTCAAGTACAAATGCCAAACAATGTTTATTAAAACATACACATTAAATTAACAAACTAAAACTACCTTTATTCATTGTTGATAACTTCAACTTCAATTATCTCTGAAACTAGAGTTTCAACATTGAGTGGCTTCAAAAATTCCAGTTCTTGACCAATTCTCACTATTTTGACATATTGTGTGCTGAGCTGTCTGTTCTACAATCCCTTCAGAATGGATTTTTCATAAACTTTATACATTTGGAGTTATCATTTTGTTTGGTCTAAATTTGCGCATATTTCAAATGCCCTATTGACAATTTTTTTTTACAGTAAACTATACTGAAAACTTATATTCTAATTTGATGAAAATGAAGATCATATGCTATCCTGAGAGAATAATAGCATTAAAAGAACAATTGGTGATAGTTCATATTATTTATTCTGAATTGAAAATCTAAAGTTTTCAATATTCAATTTTAAAATTAATTTTGATTCTCTTGTTTTTCAAGTTATTTCATGAACAATTAAGAAATTGTGCATGTAAACTTCACACTCAACAGACATCTCATTCCCAATTTCATCTGTGTTGGTTCACTGACTTTCTGGATGCTTTCCAAGTGTGGTGCCAAATTGTCACTTGCTCTCTGCCCCTCTGTGAGAGGGCCAGGTTTTGACTCTGTTCTCAATAAGCCAAACAGAACTCCTGTGTCTGATGTGACCCACTTACGTGGAGCAATCTCAGTAAGATAGCTTCAGGGAACCACCAGGGGATCCTCCAGAAATACAGTACTGATTATCTCACCTCTAGACACACCAATAGCAGTGGCATATGAGCCAAAACAAGTCGATGCCCATGAGGAACATTTGCCTTCTCTGTCAGTCGACTGCAGAGAGATTCTGCCTCTGAAAAATACACATGAATATAATAAATTTGCAAGCTAAGAAACATTCAACCCAATAAAATAAATGTAATGTATGCATATTAAGCTTTATACTATTTAAATGTTGTTTAGTATACATATAGAATAAATTACTACTTTTAACTCGGATATCATCATATCTGCCAAATGCAGTTGTGGGGCTACTTTATATTCTAAAATCTTCAACATGACAACATTAGATTAAAGTACTCTCATAAATCCAGAATAAGTCAAATATAATGCTGTTACCTTCAACAAAGGTAACAGAAACAAAGCTAACAAATATGAGTTTTTGCCAACATGAATCTCATACAAAGTTCTGCCAAAAATACTCAAAGACCTACTGGCAGAAAATCTTGTCATACAAATTTAATATTGCATGATTAAGATAACTAAAAAAAAAGAAAAAAAAAAAAGGCAACTCACCAGATTCATCAGTACTAGCCCACACCAAAAGGTCAATGCAGGCAGCATTAGCCTGAACATTAATTCTATATGGGTTGACTGATGGAATTTTCTTATTTTCATTCTTCTCCCCACTCTCACTCTGCTGTACAGCTAACTCTGTCTGACCAGAGAGAAACAGTCCTTTGACAAAATCCTGCACATCTCGAGTAAATGGCACAGGCAAGTCTGTGAAAAGAAAATTTACTCCATATGGTAAAAACAAAATAAAAAAATTCTTGGTTTTTAACATTAAAATCATAACTAGAAATGTTTTCATCATAACCAATCAAGGCCACTATGCCAGGAATATTTCACAATACTGTACAAACAATTTCATGAATATTCAAAATACACAGTAGTACATTAACCCTTCAACTGCATGACACAACCAGGGATCTTCTTTCTATTTATCTGTAAAATGGCCACACAATCAGCTATGTTTTCAAGTACCAAATAAGATTTAAAAATCCCACGGGTACATGGGATCACATCTGCTTCCTCAGGCCTCCAGTAAACAAGACACCATCTTGAAAAAAAAAAAAAAAAAGTGGGCACCCCTCCTAGGTGTGAGGGGTCTCGGTACTAAGAACAACTATGAGCAGTGCATGCAGCAGCAGCTTACAGCACTGCCATGCAGCTCGTGCCTAAAGCATCAACCATTGATGGTAATAAATAACTGCTATTATTTATCAATGATAGTGCTATAGAATACCCTGACAATGATAAAGAATATGTTCAAGGTTCAGTTATTAGTTTACCAGATGCTGGTGACAATGTTCGAAGCATGAAGCAGAAAAGTACACAGCTGCAGTTTGGTGCATCTATACATCACAAATTGGGACGTCATGTTACTTCAGCAAATGAGCATGTGAAAAATTATTCATATTCAGGATTTAGTAACCAGGATTCTGATAACAGCAGTGTTGTGGTTAGAGTTAGCTACGTATATAGTATATCCTGCCTTACAAACCTGCTTACAAACTCCTTTTTGAAAATGGTAACCAACTATTCTGACAAAAAACTTCCAGTATATGTAATAAACATGGACTTCACAAAAGTTTTTGATAAGGTACCACATGAAAGACTGGCAAGGAAATTACAAGGACATGGAATAAACGGTGGAATAATAACATTGATAAAATAATGGTTAAAACAAAGAAAGCAAAGGGTTGTCCTAAACGGAAATAAATCTGACAAGAAATGTGGAGAATGGGGTACAACAAGGTTCCATTTTGAGGCCAACCTCCTTTTTTTTTTTTTGTTCCATTTTGGAGCCATTCTCTTTTCCTTTTTTTAGTCATTTACATCAATGACATAGATGAGAATATTACAAACCACATCATCAAACTTGAAGATGACACTCAAGATTTATGGTAAAGTAGGAAGAGAAAACTATATTGAGGCTTAACACAGGGAACTACACGATCGCCACAAATTGTCGAAAGACAGGCAAATGCGCTTTAATATAAAAAATTGCAAGACCTTGCATCTGAGGCATAACATTGCCTTGCAACTGATTGATGATCGAAAGGGACCTTGGAGTTAGAATCCACCAACCTCTGAAAGTGGCACAACAAGTTGGAGCTACAGCATATATTATTATTATTATTATTATTATTATTATTATTATTATTATTATTATTATTATTATTACTACTATTACCATTATTAAAAAAAAGAATAGTCAAATGAACCTTTGACTTTAGAAAAGGTAGTTATTCAACCTTATAAATCTCTGTTGTGCTTCCACTTGGATTATTGAATCTAAACATAGAGACATCATTTTCAGAAAGACATATCTGCTTTGGAGAAGGTTAAACACTGGGGAACAATGTCCAGAACTAAGTTGACTCTCATACCAGGAATGATTGAGGGCCACAACACTTCAAACCAGACAAGATAGGGCTAATATCACTGAAACATTTACAATACTGAATGACTTTGAGGATATTAATTCAGACCACTTCTTTAAAAGGTCAGGTGTAACACAAACCAGGAGCAATGGTTTCAAGCTCAACAAGCTATAATGTAAGACAGAAAACAAGAGATGCTTTTCTTCTTAGGGTTATGAACCCATGGAACCACTTTTTGTTCACATCAAGGCCACTAGAGATGGTGGCCCTTGGGCATTCAGACAAGTAACCCTTTGTTTTAATGCTATCAGTCCCAAGGCCATCAGACGAGGAATTGGTCTCCATACTCATTAATAGTTTTCTAATTAAAAAGTTTAATGTGAAACAAAACATCAAAGGCAGATAATGTGCAGGAGATCAAAAATACTACAGTTTAGCTTAATTTTCAGAGTTAAAGGGTACTCTTGCATAAATTTCTTTATGTTCAATTTATCACAAGTCATGACTGCACAAAGTAATAAAATCTGCAAATTAATAGAGGTCCTCATCTCACAAAAATAATAAAATAATTCTCTCACCTTTCTGGTATGCAAGAAGTTCCCTCAAAAGTGTGACCATAACTAAATTTAATGTTTCTCGCACAGTCCGATATGGGAACATTTTCACCTGATACGACAAAAACACTTCAGATGCAACTTCATCCAATATTGTTAGCACCTCCTTGGCAAGTAGTTTTTTAGCATTGGCAAGTACAGTCTGAAAAGCAGAATTAAAAAGTATTTAATTCAAATAAATTTAACACATTACTATGTGGCTCCAAACACAACTACTGTATGTTGCTTCTCTTGATCCACCTTTCCAAATTGCCTGAAATTCCTCTAAATAATTTTACAACATTCATACTCTCCATTATCAATTATCACCAATACTATAATTTAAATTTTGAACAATCTTAATATTTCAACAATTATTAATCAAAAATAGCACATCTACTAATCAATTTGACAATAAAGCTCACCTGCAAATGCTGGACAGGAAACATCAGTGTATGATCATACTGGGTTAGCTGGGGAAAATTAGCTCCAAAACTTGATCCATATTTTTGAAAGAAGTATACCTTTGGGTCATAAGGAACAGACTGCTGAGACTGCAATGAGGGCCGCTTCCCAGGACCCCCAGGAATGCGTAACCTGCAAACAATTTATGTTCTTAATACAATATTAATGCCATACCAGATTACCAATTACCACCACAAGAAATGGAAAGCACCTGTGTATGTGTGTTTAACATTTTAGATACCAATTTACCTTTGGGTTCTTTTACTAAACTTTACTTAAAATTAATATCTACAGGCAGTGCAGAAGTGGCTTGCAGTAACATTTACAAAAGACCAAAATACAGAATATATATAAATATTGAAAAAACCAGCATGGAATGTAATGAAAAAAAATCTAGTGCTCTGGCTGAGCACTAGAGGCTCCCTGGCTAATATGCAATTCATTAGACCAGGGCATTAGTCAAAGGAGTTTAGCCTACTAGGATCATGAGCCAGAACTTGGCCCCCTCAGAGAGGCACAGGAAACAATGGCCCTGGAAAACCATTGGCCTGTGTTGGGGGGTTTTCCTTATCTACCATCGACCAGGGTTAGGTACCCAGAAAGGTAGCCATAATGAAACAGACCCCACATGGTAAGAAAATTGCAACTGACAACCGAACAAAGGCAGAACTCTCTCAATTCCCAAGAAAACAAGCAAACATCGCATCATGCCGTCGCGCTGCTCTTCTGCACAGCCCCCCATCCCCTGAGGGGAGCATTCTGTGGTATTCTGTGGCATTCTGTGGACCATTCCCAATCGACTTGAGAATGGTCCAGGACGGACTGAAACGTCGTCGTCCCTTCACCTTCTAGTGTGTGGTCTGGTCAACATACTTTAGCCACATTATTGTGACTCATCGCCTGCATTCTGTGGTACACTTCAGATACACTTGGACACCACACCATAAACAGCAGAGGACACGACGAAGGTAAAAACACTGCCAGGAAACCAAGGCCAGAATTGACGACTGCCCTGGAGTGCATTAGCAAATGAACTGAGGTTGGGTAGCCGGTGCGGTGGGTTAGGGGCTCTCCTCCTCCTCCATCCCAGCTGGGGGGTGGGGGGCTGCGTGGAAGAGCGGCATAGGGGCGTGGTGTAATGTTCGCTTGTTTCCTTGGGAATTGAAAGAGTTCTGTCTCTCTGTTCAATTTGTGGTTGCAATTTTCTTACTATGTGGGGTCTGTTTTTCTATGATTATCTTTCTGGGTGCCTAACCCTGGTCAATGGCAGATAAGGAAAATCCCCAAACACAGGGGTGGGGGGGGGGGTTTCCAGGGTCATTGCTCCCTGTGCCTCTCTGAGGGGGGCCAGGTTCTGGCTTGTGGTCCCCAGTAGGCAGAACTCCTTTGACTAATGCCCTGGCCTAATTAATTGCATATTACCCCAATAGCTCCAGGGAGCCAGAGGGGCTCCCCACAAAAAACTGTGCTAACAACAGATACAAACAAAAGCACTCCACTAACCCAACATCACGGTCACTGTCCACACTGACAAGAGACACAACATCAGAACAAGAGGGTAGTGTGGAGGACAGTGATCGAGGAATGATGGGGCGAAAATTTATGAAACTCTTCTTTTTTGCCATCTGTGGGGGCTCGGCAGGAACCGGAACTGGGATGACTGGCTCAGGAAAAATCTGCAGGAAGAGTGGGTCCCCAGAAGTAGAGCGGCCAAGTGCTCGAGCCAGACCAAGTAAGACGGGTACCGTCCCACGGCAGAGAGAAACTGAAAAAAAGACATATAAACTACTATAGCATTGAATTATTGATTCCTCTATATAAACTACTTTATTATGTTCCTATACTGTACATACTTATTATCTTCTGAATGCTACATAGTAAACAGAGTACTGTACATACTTTTTAATATTCAAAATATCCTACTCGCTATTAAATGAAGAAAACAAACCAGTATCAAGTTTAAAACTCAACATGCAGTCTTTTTCTTGGAAATGGGCTCTGTTTACACAGGTTGTCAAACAATAATAAAATTTGTTATTTAGCATTATCCCTGACATCGATGTATCTATAATACATATTCTTAGTTTGATGAAATGGCTAGCATAATCAACAGGTTCAACCCCTTTAATAATTACATTTAAAGTGTTAAAAGCAGTCCAAGCAAAGCTAACTACCTTCCTACGCAATGAAGTCTGTACGTAAAAATAAATTGTCATAAATCTAGCATTGAAAATAATGAAATGCCTCATTCTCTGGTGAACTATTCAGTAGCTCTCTGACCCATGAAGCCCTACTGCAGACCAGAGGCAGAATCTGGCCCAATTACAGAGGCAAACAGAAATGTGGGGATTAGTGATCATCACAGCACCAAGAAAATACCACCAGAAAGCAAACAAGCAATTACTTGGAAAATTTTGTAGCACTGAAAATAACAATGCCAATGGTGATTTATGCATTGTAGCACCTGTTACCATGCAAAATCACCATCTACATACACTCATCCACCACAAGATGGCAACTTAGGGTCTCAGACAGCCAACCTATTTACAAGCCTGGTGTTATGACCTAAGGACATATCAATTTAAGAGGGGCACACAATTAGTTTTCATATACTGTAATAATACTCGCTTAATTGTGCTTGCAGAAGTTGAGCTTCGGTCCTTTGGTCAAACAATTGTCAATCAACTGGTGTACAGGTCTCTGAGCCTATCATATCTACATCTGAGCTATCATATCTACATCTGAAACTGTGTATGGAGTCTGCTTCCACCACATCACTGCTTAGTGCATTCCTTTTGTTAACTACACTGACACAGAAAAAATTCTTTCTAATGTCTCTGTGGTTCATTTGAGTACTAAGTTTCCACCTGTGTCCCCTTGTTCATGTTCTGCCCACACTAAATAGTTTGCCTTTATCCACCCTGTCAATTCCGCTGAGAATTTTGTAGGTGGTGATTATATCTTCCCTAATTCTTCCATTTTCCAGGGTCTGTGGACCCTGCAAGACCTTGGTTCCATAGTGTTGGCCGCCCTTTGTACAATAGTTCTAAGTGGGACCTTTGGTTGTTACCATTCCATTTTTGCTTCACTTGTAATTGCCTAAGTGTAAATTACTTGTGTGTTCCATGTTATCCACCTTGCTTGTGCTCTGTGTTGACAGTTTAATCTGGCTGTTGAAGCCAGGGTTATTTTCCCTGGTAGCCACCTTGCATTGTCCTTGTGCCTCTCCAGATCATGGGTCTGGAGAGGCTCCCAGGCTTTACATCTCCGGAATAGCTTGTGGTTGACTGAATTTGACCACTCTGCAAAGCAGCTGGGAAATGAAGGAATTAGAGAATGATTCCATAGTATGAAGATTAATGAACAAAAAAAATACAATAGGCTGAGCTGGGAGACAAGCAGATATATGGTGCAAAAAGGCAAATCTGGAGAATACATTAAGCAGAACAGAAATGAAGATTTATACCATCTGCTTCCCATATATGAAGAACACAAAATGGGCAACACAAAATCCATGCAGCTTCCTTCAATACCCAAGGAAATATCTGGTCTGGACATTACTGTTTTTGTTACATCCAATTCCTCCAGGTATCTTTTTACCTCTTCTACATTAACTTCAATTCTGTTTAGTGTTGTTAATGGTGGGCCCATGGGTCAACCAGTGTTAAAAGAGCTGACCAGCATTAAAAGGGCTGGCAAGCATTAAAGACACTGCAAACAACCTGGGAAAAATGTGCATTACATCAAGGAACCAAAGAAACTGGATCAACCAAAAAAGCATCCACCAAAACAGAATAGGTGGCACGCAGACAGCGGTGAGACACAACAATGATGTACTCCAGGCCAGACAAACCAATCACAAAGGACCCCACTTGAAGCCAACCAACTCATTCTTTGCCAAAATAGTAGTAGGTTGCAAATGAAGAAACCACCCACTAGTAACAAAAGAAAAGAACCCACACCTCCAAAATAAAGCATGATGCTCTCCAACCCTGCATCGGTAGGTAAGAGCTAACAAAAACAAGGCATTTGGCTGTTTCAGTGCTTTGTTTTCTATGAACCTTGCAATTTTCTATACTAATTCTCTTACTTTCTGGATGCTTTCTCAATATGGGTGATAGTAACAATCCCCTGCTGTCTGCACCTATGTGAGAGAGGGGAGAGGAAAGGACAGTTTCTGGCTCTGATCTCAAGAGGCCAATCAGGACTCTTATTGCAAATGTGACTCAGTAGTGGGAAGCCATCTCACTAAGATAGTTTCAGGGAGACACCAACAAGCTCCAAGGAGAAATATAATAGTATTAACAATATATTAAGATTAAATTTTATTGCACTTATCAAGCAAATATAAAAAGTCACACACAATGCTCACTTTTTCCATTACTTGATCGCAATTGGTCATCACGAACAGCCCTGGTAATTATGTTCGTTAATGTTGAAAGTACTTCCACCTGTGTGGCAATAATTTCCTCTCGAACATTCTCACTGTTGGCAGCAACATCAGTTAGCAGTGTTGTCAGAAGGAAGCTAAAGCGTTCAGCTACTGGCATGCCTGAATAAAAAAAAAAAAAAAAATATAACTACAAAAGTGCTTAATATAGATAAAATCTTGCATATCAGATATATTAATGTGCTTTAAAATTACATACTATTTAATTAAATTGAATAATATAACAACATTATCATATTTACATGGGACAGTTTGTCCTGCAGAGTAGTAGTCAGTGCAGTCCATTTACAACTGAAAAGTTCCAGGTTCAACTCCATTTAGGAACAGTTATTTGAGTACGTTTCCTTTCACATGATGCTTCTTTTCACCTAGCAGTAAATAGGTACCCGGGAGTTAGGCAACCATTGAGAGTGGCATCTTGGTAATAGTCGGTTATTGGCCTAGGGAGGACCTAGTCTGGCAGCTCCAACCCCACCAATTGGTGGGGTTAGTGCAAACAAACAAGGACTTGTTTCGAGAGATTCAACTACTTGTTTACATTGTTGGGGAGAGTTTACTTGACAATTTTGAGGCTTCAGTATCTTTAAATCCAGCAGAGGTCTGTACTGGTTCACTGACATTCTGGATGCTTTCCCAATGGGAGTGGCAGTGTCATCCCACCTCTATGCCTCTGTGAGGGAGAAAGGTTTGGGCTCTAGTCCCTGGTAGATCAAATAGAACTCCATGGCTGATGTGACCTAGTAGTTGGGAGGCATCTCAGCAAGTTAGCTTCAGAGAGCCACAAGGAGCTTCCCAGGACTTTCCTATCCCAGGAAAAAAGTTCACCGCAGGGGTAACATTTCCTGAGGATTAACTTAGTTCCTTATATTTCAAAAATTTATGCAAAAATCTGCCCTGTATATAATTTTTCAAGTTTTTTGTTCCATACAGGTAAGAGATCAGAATATACTTCTCTCAAGATTAATCTCTACCTAATAAGTTACCATAATTATGATTTTTGAGCAAAATTTCTAATCTTACATAACCTGTCATTCTCTTGAAAACATTGAATGCTGTATTCTTTTTGAGCCCAATCTTTAGTTTACATTCAATACTAGCACCTGTCCACACACACTTTGGTTCAGTAGTCATTACTGTACAGCACTACTGCTCTCAACATAAGTCATTTCATCCTTACCACAAAGTTACACAAATAATATATCCCCAAGTTAAAGACCTATATAGAAACTCATATCTGATCAACTATAAATGGTACAGTATTACAGTATATATACTGTTCATTAATGCATGCAAAAATGTTTAATAACTAATCTTCAGTACAGTATATACAGTACTGTACAATGACTACATAGTAATAATTACATTGTATTTTACAAATTTATACTTGCAAACCTGAGAAATTCCACTATCATTAACAGCTTCAGTAAGCATTAAAATCCTTACAAAAATATGTTTTAATAAAAATAAATATTTAAAATATTTAAAAATATTAATAATGTGACCTTGTTAAAAATCCCCGAGAATAAATTTCTTTCCCAATTTAAACTCACGGTCAGTTGGATATATTCGTTTTTCATCCAGCCACATAGCTTTGGGAAGAGCTCGGAGAAGTCTGAGTAAGTACTGGAGGATAAGTGTCTGGTGCTGCTGACCCGACTCCAAGAGGTATACCCCCAAGGCAACCACTGCATCCTGGCTACGCTGGTCCACTCGAAACACGCCACCATGACTCTCACTGGGGCACAGGTTCAACAATTTATCAACCTATAATAGAAGCATAACTTTAGTAAAAGTAATTTTAGCATTCAAAAAATATTTCTAGTCTTGATAAATATACAGTAATGTACTGTATTTTGAAATACTCTAGGTCAACAAATAACCATGTGACAAAATGTTACAGAATCTCAAAAGTAAGCAGCAACAGACAACTAGGCCCTAAGGAAGAAGCAAGAAACAATATTGCTCAGCTTGCAGAAGGAACGGAATGGATGGATGGCTGGGACATACAGATGTCACCTATACATGGCTTAATTAAAAACAGATCAAAGATACAAATATAAGTTGCGAGACTATACCTTGGTTGCAGTTTTCATTTATGGCACATCCCTAATCAAATAATAAAACAATGGCATTATTTTTGTTAAATTTCCATTTGAATATCCCTTTAATACGATGACAGAGTATAGTTGCTGGTCTCACTCTGCGAGGCATGGAATACATGATAAATGAGTGCAATACAATATTACATATCTATCCATATCTTACCTACGGAATCTGTGCTTGGAGACCTATAACCCAAAATTACCTATGAACCATTATTATTCAGCATAAGACAGCACTCAGAACAATAACAAACTCTATTCCAAGACAGCACTCAGCACCCTTATTGTAATCCTTGAATATTTTACATATCATATGTAAAATGTGTGTAATATGTGACTACTGTATTCCCACAAAACTCTGAACTGCAACTGGGGAGGGGGAGGAGGGGGTAGTTACATCTGCCTAGAATTGGGGTTAAAAAAATTTAAGAAAATACTAACAGTTTTAGATACTTTTTTGGATAGGTGCTGTATATGAGTACTGAAGGTCAACATTCCCTTTTCAAATGATAATTATGAAGCACAACTCTGTTCCCCGATACTCCAAATTACTGCATTGTAACTGGTTAGGTTATTTCACATCATGTTTTCTCCAGAGCACGAACCCCCTTTCAAAGTTCCAGGATGTCTCCCTTTTGTCAGCTGCCAGTCACCCATCTAGTGCCGGTATTGTCAAAAATGACTATTATGTGCATGTCATGCACTGCATATTTAGTTCAGGTTAAGGTGTGGGCTGACAAAAGGGAGATATGTCCTGGAACTTTGAAAGGGGGCTCACACTCTGGTGAAAACATGACATGGTATAACCTAACCAGTTACAATATTACAATACAGTAATTTAGAGTACTGTACTGTAGAATATTGGGTGTTCTGAAGCATGTTGCAATCTGACGCAAGTATCAGTTGGGTCAACCCATGTATCATATTCCAAAAATGTGCAACTATGTTAGAATGGATGAACGAACCCTTGAAGAATATTGTTGAAAACATCTTGATAACTTGATAAACAAAAATTATTTGTATGTCCGAAGAAAAATTTTAACAATCTATATGTAAAACCTCTATCAGGTTTCACTGCCAGGTATTGGAATTCTATTAGGCTTATTGAGGTCCCACTATTCAAGAACTGACCTGCTCAATGCAACCCATAACAGTTGACTAACTCTCAGGTACCTATTTACTACTATATGAATGTCTTTTTTTTTTTTTTTTTTTTTTTTTTGAGATATATACAAGAGTTGTTACATTCTTGTACAGCCAATAATACGCGTAGCGTTTCGGGCAGGTCCCTGGAATACAATCCCCGCCGTGAAGAATCGTTTTTACAACCAAGTACTCATTTTACTGTCGAGTTAAACAGAGGCTACAGTTAAGGATTTGCGCCCAGTAAATCCTCCCCGGCCAGGATACGAACCCATGACAAAGCGCTCGCGGAACGCCAGGCGAGTGTCTTACCACTACACCACGGAGACTTCTTGTATCCCATGATAGGAAATGTGCCATTTGCACTACAGGTCCCAACCGAAACCTAAATAACTTTTCACAACTTGTCCAGAAAAGCAAAGCCAAGATGGAATAAACATAGAAAAGGAGCGACTTGTCCCAATACTTGTCTACACTTGATACCTGAATCATGTTAATTAATGAGCTCATCATTATGACATGCGAGGCACTTAAGTTCACCTCAAAATATAATTATATATTCCTACCTTAAAAAAATAAACACCCGAAATTTCCTTGAGATATATTTATTCCCTTCCGTACAGCTAACAAAAATACGACCCATATATCAGCAGCCATCACCCAATCACCACTAAACACCCTTCACCCCCTGTTCCATTGTTCCTGACAACTGGTACTTGGGTTGACCTGTTCGTAGGGTGTTGGAGTGATCTTGGCAAGAGTCCTGGCCAGCTGCAGGACACTCCTACTGAAGAAGGACTGGGGACACGGGTCTTCCAGTGTCATCGTTCCGCTCCTTAGTCGAGGCCCACTTGGGTTAACCCAAGTATGGCATCCCAACCATGTGCAACGTTCAGGCCCACCATCAGCGCCCGACCACTCAAAATCAATCAAAATTTATACTAAATTTTGTAACTAGCTCATCAAGATTGTAACTTGCTTAGTGAAATGATCTGTGGGGTTCAGTCCCTGAGCCCATTATGTGGCTCTAACCCTTTCCACTACTACCCACAAGATGGGTATGGGGTGCATAATAAATGAACTAAACTAACTAATCAAAATCAAAATGTTTATTCAGGTAAAAGTACATGCATAGAAGATGAGTTACAAACATAATGTTAGATTTATTGATAGAGCTAATACATACAATATCTAAAGGCACTTATACGCACAGCGTTTCGGGCACATTGGTAAAACGTCTAGATACGTTTACAAACGTTAACTTTTTGTGTTACAAGTAAGGCTGAAATATAGGCTATAATTAGAACCTCTGCCGTAAAAATATCTTACGTGAAATCAAAGATATATGTAATTTGCATGTGTCTTGTTTGCTCGCTCGCGGAGCTCCCAATAACATCAAAAACATTATTTACCAGAATTTACCTCAGGGCCACTATGTCTCTAGTGGCCTCGACGAGAACAGAAAGCTGGCGGCTTGTCAAAGTCCCCACCCCCCCCCCCATTTGTCCTGATAATTTTATCTATTTGAATCTTAAATTAATCTTACAAGAATGTAAGAAGAATTAAGAATGTAAGAATGTCCTAATTTTCACCTGTGGGTGAAAAAGCATCTGTTCTCAGTCCTACATTGTGGCTTGTTGAGTTTGAAATCGTTGCTCCTTGTTTGTGTTACATCTGACCTTCTGAAAAAATTTTCCAGATCAATCTATATCCTCCAAATTGTTCAGTATTTTAAGTTTCAGTAAGATCCGCCTTGTCAGTTTGCAGCGTTGTTAGTTCTGTGGCCTCAACCGTGTTAGTGGGCCCACTAACACGGTGACTAACACAGTGCATGTTAGTGGCTTTACAAGTATGTTCTATCTACTTAACAACGAACATATATGTACTTTAACAACCCACTGAATCTGCTTATATATGAATAAATAAATAAATAAATGAATAAATATAAATAAATAAATAAAATTTGCCCGAAACACTATGCGTACTAGTGGCTTTAGGTATTGTATGTACTAGCTCTATCTATAAATCCAACATTATGTTTGTAAATCAACTATGTATGTACTTTCCTGAATAAAATTCACATTAACGTTTAAGTGAAGAAATCTAGGGACTCGGCCAGCCACAAAATTCAATTAGCGAAGTAAATTGCAGTCATGCTGAGCTAGTTAAAAAATTTAAAGTATATTGTTACATGAAGAATTCTGGGGTTGAGAAAGTGGTTGTATATGTGTGTGAGGGAGCGCCGCCCCCTGCTCCCTCCAGCTAGTTTATGTTCTTAGTAACCATCTCATGCTTACCTGTAAATTATTTAGGTACTTAATCCCCGCATTAGAAAATCAATCTATAACCTTTCAAAGATCATTCTTTTTATTTTATGAACGGTTCTTATATTTGTTAAATTTATTATGATAAGAAGTATGATAAAGGTGGATATTTTGTTGAACAAATAAAATTAATGGTTAGCGTCGTGGCCGGGGTGAGCGGCGTCTCCCCTCCGTCTAAATTCTTCAGTTGATTTACTCCCAATTTGTGGTATCAAGCTTGTTCCTTAGGGCGGAAGTGAAGACAGAACTGCGGTGGACTTCTTGGAGTGAGAATACTGGAAGGTATGGCAGACTCGGTGGGTAGTGAGGGATAAACCCCCGTGTGTGTGTAGTATGGCGTAAGGCCAGGTCGTGTCGCCTCCATGATCGGCTCGCTAGGTGGTTACCCGGGCGCTCCTCTCTCCTTCGTCAGTGCTTCTCTTCCTCATTCCTCGTGTCACCATCCCTCCCTAGGGGCTCCTCCCGCCGTCATCTAGTATGGCCCAGCTGCTTCATCTCCACGCTAGTGTGGAGAGTGAGTGAGGCCTGCTTGGCTAGGCGTGTGGCCCTCCTTTAGGATGTAAGTGTCTCGGGGTGTAGATAATTAAGTGTAATTGCCTCAGTGTTATAGGGTGAGAGCCATGCTTGTGGTGTCCCGTCTTCCCGGCACTCTTTGTTACATAATGCTGAGAACCTGCGGACGGTTTTGGCCTACATCACCTTCTTGCTTTACTTGTTCCGACCCTCTATCATTGTGTTTGCAAAAGTGAACTTTGTAATTTATTGGTCAGCTTTATTTCCTTAGTTTGAACCTATGTCCTCTTGTTCTTGCAACCCAAACACTAGGGGTGGACGGTAGAGCGACGATCTCACTCCATGCAGGTCGACGTTCAATCCCCGACCATCCACAAGTGGTTGGGGATGGTGCTATATAGTGCTATAGTGCCAAGGGCTATATAGTCATAATGGCTTGGTGCTTTCCCCTGACAATTTCCCTTCCCTTCTTAAAGTTGCAGTTCTCAAGAATTATTTTTTGTCAATTTTATCGGTTCCTGTCGCTGTTTTGTGTGTAGTGATCGTATCCTCTTTTTCTTCTATCTTCTAGCTTTGGTATATTTAATGTATAGTATAACCTCTCTGTACCTCTTTATTTTTGTTCCAGAAGCCATTATATGTCTTTCCAAATTTTCTGGTTTATTGATGTGCTTTGGATATGAATAATTTCTTTAACCCCTGGACAGCGGCTGTGGTCATGGCCAATGGCCTATGCCAAAAAATAGGAAAATTAAAAAAATAATTGTTCATTATATAATTATTAATTTGTATGCAAAATGTAAGGAAAAACAAAAATAAGGGAATACAATATGTATCGTTTCACTGGGTGGAGGCACTCTGCAAGACTGTGTCTGGCACTTGTCAGTGGTGCTCAACTTTGTTGACGCTTCCTGTTTTATCCTCCGATGTTTCATCGATTGTTATATCACTTGTTTTTTTTGTTTTTCGTTCAAAGAGAGCTCTTATTTCTATATTTCCTTCATATATGTAAAACTCAGACAATAATTGTTAAATCGTCATATGATAACCGCAGTACCCTTATTATTATTATTATTAATATTAATTATTATTAATATTAATACTGTAGTATGCCGTATTTCCCTAGGGATCGTTAATAGATAATAACCACAGCCTAAGGATTAATACTTCCCCATCCATGTATTTAAAAATGATTCTAAAGTTGAAAGGCGTAGCATACGCTCCTTGCACAATGTTTTTTATATGATCCTCAAGTGACAGTTTTTTTTTTTATCTAGAACCACCCCCTAGATCTCTTTCTTTATCAGAATTCTTTAACACTTTTTCACGTAGTTTCTAGGTTATGCGTGGCCTGGTGTCTCCTATTCCACATTCCATAATATGACATTTATTCACTTTAAATTCCATCTGCCAAGTGTTGCTCCATACACTTATTTTATCCAGGTCTTCTTGAAGGGCATGACAAATGTTCAAGTGTCTTATCTTCCTTAGTAGCTTAGCACCATCAGAAAACATGTTAATATAATTCTGTATTCTTTCTGTAATCATTTATATAGATGCTAGAACTGAACCTTGTTGTACTCCACTGGTAACACTTCCCCCGTTTAATATGTAGCCTTTGTTTACTGCCTTCATTTTTGTCAGAAAATTGTTCATATACTATATGTCGGAAGTCTTCCTGTCACTCCACCAGCATGTTCCAGTTTCCAGAATAATCTCTTATGGGGGACTCTCTCAAAAGCTTGTTTTAGGTTCAGATAAATGATTTTAGCCCAACCATCTTTTTTCCTGTAGAATCTCTGTGGTTCTGTAATAAAAGCTAAGTACTGTAAATTTGTTATATAGGACCTTCCTGTTTAAAAGTCATATTGACTGTCTGTTATTATATTTTTTCTAGTGTTTTGACTACCACTCTTTTCAGTGATACGGGTCTATAATTTAAGAGGGACTTCTTTACTACCATTTTGTTATGGATTTGAACTGTTTGCCTTTTTCCCATATACAGTACTGTATTTGTAAGATTCCTGTGCACGAAGATGTCTGAAATATGAATTGAAGAATAACAAGTCAAGCCTGGCCTTGGGCAGGCTTGGGGAGTAGAAGAACTCCCAGAACCCCAGCAGGTATCAAGTGGAATGCTTAGCTCAGGTGCACATTCTCCCGGAACCCAAGGTGAAAATCCATTTGATTCAACTACTTTGTCTTACTAACTCCTCAAGTATCTTTTTCACTTTGTCTCCAGACATTTATTTGTACTCTAATGTGTTCTCTGGAATTGGCATTTGGTTTGCTTCTCTAAAAATCTCATTTTGCATGAACACACTTTAGAACTGTTCATTTATTGTTTTACCATAAATGTCTAATAATGTCTAATCTACAATAATGTTTTACAATACAATTAACTTCTGTCTCTTCCTTTGAAAGGTCACGTCTTAATTATCATTGTTTCCCATCCTCATCATTCTACAATTTCCTAGCAATCCTAAGTACTGTCATTTGTACACTATTAAATGTCACCTGTAAATGGCAATTCTTGTATTTCTTGTACTGTATTGTGTATGTTCATCCATATAAAAGCTCTGATATTTTCCTTTGTTGTGAAGCCTTCTCCTAACCTCCTATTTCTCAATAAATTTTTTCACTTCTGCTGCTCTGTCTATCCTAGATGGTACTGTACTGTATTTCCATTTTAGACACCCAAAAATTATTATGGACTTACTTCTATCTGCAGTGTTTTGTGCTAATTTACTGTTGGTAACCAGTTCTTGCTTAATTGGTTATTTAATGTCTGCTTCTTTTTGCTATTTTTGAATTCCAGACATACTGTACTTCTTTGATATTTTCTTGCTACATAGCCTTCCCGGCTTGGTGCCTTCTTTGATATTTTCTTTCTCTTCTACAACCTGGCATATGTTTCTTTTATTTCCTCTTTGCACTTCTAATCCTTTCTTAACTTTCTTTATGTGAACTGTCATTGTAATTACCTAAGTGTAGTTACAGGATGAGAGCTAAGCTCATGGTGTCCTGTCTTCCCAGCACTCTTTGTCATATAACGCTTTGAAATTACTGACGGTTTTGGCCTCCACCACCTTCTCATATAACTTGTTCTAACCGTCTACCAATCTGTTTACAAAAGTGAATTTTCTTATATTTCTCTGGCAGCTTTGTTTCATTAGTTTAAATCTATGACCTCTTGTTCTTGAAGTTCCAGGTCTCTGGAATTCTTCCCTATCATCAGTATTCTATCCCTATCATAGACATATTGTGTATGACATCAGCTGCTTCACCAAGTGTTTTGGCTGTGGTTGACTGCTACTGTACCACTTCGGGCCAATCTATTGCCCGAGTTTCTTGAACTTGATAAGATAGGAGTTCTGGGGTAACTGTTACCAAGGCATATGCAGGGTCTTGCTTTATACCCAAATACTGCCACATGAATTATTTCAATGCTTACCCAGGTTTGGTAGTCTACATGGTTTATTCTGGCGCCCATTTCATTGAACACCTTGGAGCTAGCATCTTTTGTGCTGTGCTGTCTGCTTGCCTTCCAATCCACCATGTAAGTGACATTGGGTTGCTTCGTGTGTCTTTTGAGACTGGTTTCCGTGGATTTCTTACGCATCTTTTGGCACATTCCTTTCCTTCTCGAGCTTAGTGTTTGGGTAGGGTTCAGTGTGGAGGGGTGCTTTTTGTACTACTTTTGGGCTCTGCTGTTTTGATCTTCTGGCCCCCAGATTTTATCCAGACTGGCTTGCATGGTCCTCCAGTGTTTTTATTTTCTGGGGCTCCACATGCTTGCCTACCCTAGTTACTGGCTCCTTTGGGACTCTGATTGTCTGATTTATATGCTGGCTTGGGATCTGGATCTGGTTCTGTGTTGCTTGTGGAATGACATTCAAGTAATGCGACATGTTGTTCCCTTTTTTGGCTTCTGCCCCCTCTCCTGTCAAGGAGGGCCTTAGTTTGAGGTTTTAAGCCTGGTCCACTTTCTCATACCTTATTGTACTGTTCAAAAGTGGGTTTGGGTGGGCATTCTGTATATTGTGCTTCTGAGGACTTCTTTACCTCTACTAGCTGGGTCATGATCCCTTCCACACCCTGTGCAAAGCCTGAATTTACAGCATGTTTGGTTTCTGCTTGGTTTGGAGTAAAACCTTTGCTATTACCATGATGGTGTTAAGAGTTCTGTGTTGTGTCATTCATTTTCCAGGCTTCTCCCAACCCTTCTCCTTTCAAGGCATTAGAGTTTGGGGGTTGAGTGCTGGGTGCACTTGCCTGAGTCTGGCAGTTTCATCCAAAGGTAGGTTCGGGCGAGCGATTTTGTTCTCGTGCTTCAGTGAAGTTTGTTAACCCCCTTTTAAATACTTGTAATGGTGATAATAATGAATAGTTTATTACAAATATTACAAAGTATTTATATTACTGTAATTCTAAAGCTCTAATCACATGCTGCTTAGCTCAGAACCTAGTTTTCCTGCATGATGAATTCCTGCTTGATTGGAAGTGAGACCCTGTGCTGTTGTCAGGATTGCAGTGGCATACTGGTACTTCATTCTGACCAGTACTGCACTTCCCTTTCTTGGTTCCTCCTGTCCTTTCTCATCTTGAGAGCCATATACACTTTTCCCACTTGATGGTTTTGCCATTTGGTGGATTTGAGTATTTGCAAGTATTAGAGGTTACTTGCTTTGTTTTTCTATATGAGTGAGGTCACATTGTTGCTCTGACTCATTTCAATGTTTCCAATATTAATGGCTTTCTGGTATTGGGTACTCAGTTTCCCTGGCCATCACTCACCCTGCAGAGCTGGGAGAGGTATTATTCTCTGGGGTTATTTCCTTGGGGTATTGTGCTGCTTCTGTTGGCTCCACCCTTGTTTTGTTTAGATGCTTGGCTTCAAGTTTTGTGAACTCGTGACCCTTTTTTGTGCCTCTGGTGGTGGTACCATGTTGCATTTGGTTTGGGGTTCACCCTAGTGAAGGAATACCTAGTGGTGTATTGGGATTCTCTCCTGCTTCTTCAAGATTCCCCATTGTTGATCAGCAAAGGTTTTGTTTTGTTTACACTGTACAGTACAGTATTTGGTTGGTCTACCTGGCCTTTGCAAGCTTGCACATCATTGTAATGAATGCCAAGAGAATCCTCCAATTTTGTGTACAAATGGATAAAGTCTTCAGGAATATTGGAGGAGTCCATTGAAGAGCCACTGGCTTCCTGTCCATGGTGAGGTCATTGAAACCTGATTCTACTGCTGGTAACATAACATGGGGGTTTTCTCGTCTTATAGGGCATTTTCCTACAGTGTATCTGGTCATAGATGTCAACTACCAAGAATCGGTCCTCTTGCTATATTTTTGCTTTCTTCCGTTTGTTGCTCTTTTCCAAATAGTGTACAGTATATTCTCATTGAGTTTTGAAAAGGTTAAGCAAAGAGAAGCTGCTGAGGGGGGTCTAATCAGAAATACTGTACTGTACTATAATGTATTTTTGAGTGACCCATCAGTAGTTCCTCAATCCTACCCATTCTTCCTTTTGTGTTGCTTTTCCATTCTGTTTTCAACATGGCTGCTGGTTAGTGAAGTGGATTGCCTGGCTGACTTGCTGGAAACCTAAGGCACTGTACCTGGCACCAAGAGAGGGAGAATTGTTGAGGGAGGTGTCTCACTTGTTTTCAAAGTTTTATTTGTTTATTGCATATTCCCAAATAATTCTTAGTAAAAGTTTTTGGTTGTTTTATGACAAGCTTTTAAAAGGAGGTTCACCTCAGTAGAGGCTCATCTGATCCCCTTTTCTCCCTGTCCCATGGTGGAGGCAAGTCAATGTTAGATACTGTAACACTTTCTTGCGATGGGTAGGGAAAGTCTTGGAAATCATTATCCCATTTCCACTTTCATGGGGTGGGGGCCATCTTCCCAGAGAAACAGTGATTAATATAATGAAAGAAGGTTATAGCTTTTTACATTTATGTACTATACATGTTATTTATAAGTACCATATCACCTAACCATTCATTATATCATTCCTGAATATAGCATAGAACATCATGGATAAGTAATCATTAGCAGGCATTCACAGCAACAACTCGATGCTTCATAAGACCCAGGCATACAGTGCTCCTCTTGAATTGGCAGATTCATTACATACAAATAATCACCCCTATCTTACAAATTGTCTCCACCCAAGCCTTGCCTCCTGCCTTACCCCACTTTAATTTTACATGTTTGTACCATACAATAAATGTAGACAAAACGTTATTTTATCATACTGTACTTAAAAGAAGAAAATATTACATATGTGCAAGATGCCCAATATGTTAATACTGTACTCTGATGATAACCACAATAGCATGAATGATAGAGATGTTATGCTTTTGGTCATGCTGATGTGTTTTTTCACTCTAGACGTGTTGAGAATGTAGTACAGTACAGTATATAGATAGGGTTCCATTCTCATGGGCAGTCTGACATGAATTTGCTTTAACATTTGTAACCATATTTTATGAAGAGAAGCTTCAGCTATGTTTTATAAAGGTAAGTACTTTGAGAAGTGTATAGGCAAAACTGAGATCTCCAGGCCACTGAATTTTATTTAGTGCAATTGCTAAATGTGTTCCATATACAGTAGCTTGAAAGACAATACTCTATATGAAAATTTTTCTTACACTATGACAGTTCATGCAGCTGACAGTGATAACAGTTGATTGAGTCATCTGAGATTGAAATGGTAATCTATTGTGTGTGTTCAACTACAACTGGAATGCTTGCTGAGAGCATTCTTCAATCTTCAATTTCAATCTTCAGAAATGATTTCATATGAACATTTTTAACAAGACCTGGATTGAACTAGTGTTTTGTGAAGTCAAAGAAGATCATTAAAAGTATGTCTACAAAGAAAGTGAATGACACTAGGGTAGAAAAGGACACAACTCCGGACTCATTGCGTGCAAAGAAGTTAAAATTATGATTGGAACAGGCATTCAGTGTAATGTGGAGCAAATCCTGGAGACCGGTAATGTCCCACAAACCTACCAACAGTGGACATCACCCCACTACACACAGGAGATAGTAAAGAATTAACAACAAATTATGCAACATTTACACTAACATCCTAAACCATTCATGTTTGAAAAGGTGCTGAGAAGACAATTTGGCAGTTTTATAGAAAAGCATAGG